AATCGCCTATCGTTTGATATCAGGTACCCGGTATTCCTAGTGCGAAATGGACGATAGGGTACGGTTTCTAAAACATTGCTTAAATTAAATCCTTGATAATTCCATCATACATGATTGGGTTACGAAAACTTCCGGATCAGCATCCTTGTATTTGTTTGTTTGTAACTCAAACAAAATGTAGTTACTCAAAGCACACTCATGTATATAGTTGACGATTTTTTTTGTCGAACAGTCTTGTCAGACGATGAAGTTTGACACATATTCAACTCTTTTACTCGTATGAATGAAAATCGAGATTGTTGCATAATTTCCTTCACTCGTTTATTATTATTTTTTGTTTATTAATGCATATGAAATTTTATTGAGTAGTAGTAGAAATGTTCGACATATCAATTCTCAATTGAGGTATAAGAAAAATAGTTGGCCTACTTGTTCAGATTTCTTGATCTCCCCATTCACAAAAGATATTGGCCATCAAATGGGCCTCCTTGTTGTGCTCTCGGCCCACAAATGCACAATCGACCCGGCCCAACTGTTTCGCTTCATCCAGTCGACCCGGCCCGACGGGTTCTCCATTTCTCTTTCTGTGCTTCTCACCATCTAGCAGCATCAACCACGATCCTCTTTTCACCACGTCGAATATACTCCACGTATTCCTCCAACCATCTAGCGGCAACATCCATGATTTCGAAAATTCCTCCCTCTTCCTTTTGTTCTACATTTAACTATTCCGTCCTTCACGGATAAGCCCTTGTTCGTGAATAAAAATTAATAAGTTAAAAAAAGTTGCATCTTGCAAAGCGTGGTACTGGTAATTAAATCTCGATCCGAGCCCTTGATTATGTGGAGAAGCACCAAGGAAGCAGAATTGAGTCGCACCACTTGTCGAGAGCGGATCCCATGACTAGGGGGGTCCTTAGTCACTTGACTAAGCCCCTCCTAGCCATTAGATCTGGACACTTCAATCCAATGGTTAAAAAGTGGGAAGAGCTATTTAATTAATGACAGTGGTAGTTTGGGTATTATGGAAAATTATGAACTATACAAACCGGATTTACAATCAGTACAAACCATACAAACATACGAACAATACAAACTAGAGCGACAAAACATACAAACAGATTTACAAACATTACAAACGTATGAACTGTACAAACAATACAAACTAGACTGACAAACAATACAAACCATACAAAAAGAAAAAACAACCGAGTTGACTTTGGAGGCTCCATCCCTATATAGAGGGGCTCCTTCTCAAAGTCAACCCGGGTGTTCTTTAGACATGCAAACAGTACGAACATGGTGGACAAAAATGACAAACTAGACCGACAATCCATACGAACGGGAAAAAACACTCGGGTTGACTTTGGAGGCTCCATCCCTATATAGAGGGGCTCCTTCCCAAAGTCAACCCGAGTGTTTTTTAGACATACAAACAGTACGAACATGGTGGACAAAAATGACAAACTAGACCGACAATCCATATGAACGGGAAAAAACACCCGGGTTGACTTTGGAGGTTCCATCCCTATATAGAGGGGCTCCTTCACCAAGTCAACCCGGATGTTTTTTAGACATACAAACAGTACGAACATGGTGGACAAAAATGACAAACTAGACCGACAATCCATGCGAACGGGAAAAAACACCCGGGTTGACTTTGGAGGCTCCATCCCTATATAGAGGTGTTCCTTCCCAAAGTCAACCCGGGTGTTTTTTTGACATACAAACAGTACGAACATGGTGGACAAAAATGACAAACTAGACCGACAATCCATACGAATGGGGAAAAACACTCGGGTTGACTTTCGAGGCTCCATCCCTATATAGAGGAGTTCCATCCAAAAGTCAACCAGGTTGTTTTTTAGACATAAAAAACATTACAAACATGGTTGACAAAAATGATAAACACGGTACACAAAAATAACAAAGTTTACAAACATTACAAAAAAACCTGACAAACATTACAAAATAACAAAGCGTACAAACATTACAAAATAAACCGACAAACAGTAAAAAACCAAAATGGTGGGGACGAAAATCCACGCCGCCGGTGAATCCAAAGAGGGACGCCGACCGGAAATCAAACAGCAGCCGGCGAACTCTCTCTCTCTCTCTCTCTCTCTCTCTCTCTCTCTCTCTCTCTCTCTCTCTCGGGAGCTTGGGGAAATTCCCAGAAACAATGGACGGAAGAAATGGAAATGGATTCTCCAATTAATGGACAACGCCGGGATATGGAATCTCGTCGGAAAAGAAGGCCCGCCGCAGGGAATATGGAACCCAGAAAAGAAGGCCCACCGCCGTCGCCGGGAGAGGCTGGTCGCTCACGATCAGATTTTTGTTTGTTTAATTACTAAATAAATATATAAATAATGTAATTACTATCTTGCCCTTTATTAAATGAGATTAATCAGGACCCTTAGATCTAAATTAAAATGAATGGCTGAGATGCACTTAGTCATGTGACTAAGGGACCCCTTTAGTCACCTGATCTTAGCCCCACTTGTCGACCTCGTTGCAACTAGGTACATAAGGTATTTCATGAACTTCGCCTTTGCTTTGGTCGGATTGGTTAGATAATACCTCCGACACCACTCTTGAGTTTTTTAGAAGATGAATTTTCAATGACTAATGAGCAATGGCTATGTTGTTTTGCTGTAACTTTATAAGGCTATGACTGAAATTTTTTAATAAATTCATAACATATGGCACCGTGCGTGCACCCACATTGATAATTTCCCTGACTAAATTAGACACAAAGTTTTCTTTTACTAAATTAGAGCGAAGCCACCGGTTATACCTGGTTAAATCGGTACCGGTCGTAAAATCGGCGTGATACTACCGGTATGACCGTCATAATCGATATACGAATCTCTAAGTAAAATGATCTAATTTAGTGAATTTAATTGATAAAAATTATTTTATTATTTATTTTATGAGTATAGAAGTTAAATATTGATGTTATTTGTTGGATTCAAGTATAAATTTTTAGGTATGGACGTTAACAGACTGTTTGGTATCAAATGAATCGAGAATTCATTTCATTGTAAAATGAATTACCGTATAAAATTCATTCTCAAATGAAATCTTGTGGTTGGTATGTCATATTCGAATCCTTAGAAATAAAATAAATTGTCGTGTAGAATTCATTGTCAAATGAATTCATGTGTTTGGTATGTTATATTTACAAGTAATTTAGTTAATAAAAGATGATAATTATATCATTCTATTAAAAATAGTAAATACTTGTGGAATTCATCCTCGGAATTGCTATAACTAGTTCCAATTCCTTAGAATTCAAAATTTAGTATTGAAAATGAATTCTTTCAAATACCAAACACAAAAAAAATTCATTTCAAAATGAATTCCTCACAACTTATGGAATTCATTTATACCAAACGGTATGTAAATGTCATGTTTAAATATGAATATTTATATTTTTATTTGTAATATTGACCGGCATTAACCGACACAAACCGGTATGTGCCACCGGTCGAACCATTCCACTTGCTAAACCGGCACACTGGCATAAACCGGTTTGACAACCTTGATCCAAACTCAAACTCAATATGCAAGTATTTTTTGCTCTAGGCCCAGCCCAATTCTCGCATCGGCAGTGAGCCCGTGACCCAATAGTTTGACTTTTTTAAAGGGTAAATTGCAAGTTTGGTCACTAGAATTACTAAAAAATATCATGTTTGCCACTAAAATTAATTTATTCCATTCATGGTCACTTAAATTAGTTTTGTAGTTCAAGTTTGGTCACTGGTCGTTAGTCTCCGTTAACACCGTCAGTTAACTATTGACGTGGCTAACAGAAATACCTAGTCACTCACTTTTAACTATAAAAAATAAAAATCCGATCCGCTACGTCATAAAAACCAACCCATAACCCAACCCATACCTGACCCGACCCTATTCTCTCTTTCTCTCGCCTCTCTTCCATTTCGTAATCCGCCGGATTCAGAAGACGCCGTCAATCTGGGTTTGGTTCTTGTCAATTAGCTCTTTGACTCTAGATCGCCGCCGCCTTGAGACTCTTTTTTTTTTCACGACCTTAGCTGACTCCAATGGTTCCCTCACCCTTATCCCTGCCAACCCCGCAGAAATTGTAGATGAGAATGAAGCAGGGGAGGAACGGGGAGAGAAGCAGAGGAGGCAATGAGGCTAGAGGACACTGCAGCGGGAGGCAAGGGATCTGGAATGAAATAGGAATAGAGGATAAAGGTTGGGAGGATCCAGATCTCATACATCTGACTTCAATTCTTCTCCTCTTTCCTCTTCTATCTCTAAAAACGCGTCGCTCGCTCTCTATTTTGATAGGGTTTTTCGATTGCACAGAGTGCGGGCCGCCTTCACCAGGGTTGGTGTAGTTCAATGGTTCGGTGAATGTGCCTCTGGCTTTTGGGATTCGTTTTCTTGGTGTTCGGAAAGGGTGGGGGCTTCTAGAGCTTGAGGTGGCTGGGAGGGATTGATGTTGAAATTCTCGGGGAGGATATCCCTTGCGAAGATGGAGGATTCCAAAAGATGAAGCTCTATCCATCGTCAATGGTTGGATCGTCGACGAGCTAGTGTCCTCTTGGTGAGGATGGTGCTGGGAGAGATCTTTGCGGTTTTGTTCCTTCGCCTCCACCGCTGATTTGACGTCGGCGAGTCAATAACTTCTCTATGAAGAAGACGAAACGCAGATAGGGAAAGAGTAGAGGGGAAGAGATAGAGAGCGGTTGGTTCACGAGTTGGGTCACAGGTTTAATGATGTGGCAACATTTAATGACTTGGCGGATTGACTTTAATTTTTTTTTTGTTCCATTCAGGCAACTCATCGTCTCTGTTAGCCACGTCAGCTGTTAACTGACAGTATTAACAGAGTCTTACGAAGACTAACGGCCAGTGACCGAACTTGAACTACGGAACTAATTTAAGTGACCATGAATAGAATTAAATTAATTTTAGTGGCAAACCTGATATTTTCTAGTAATTTCAGTGACCAAATTTGCAATTAACCCAAGATATTCCTTCTTCTTCATCTCACTTCTTTGGCCGTTCACCGGCGGCATCTAACGCGAAGTCGGAGGTCAAGTAACCGGCAGTTCTTCCACTTCCGTTATGGACATGGGCGACGAATCCTGGAGTGGCAACCCTTCGACTCCGATTGCTGGGCGGGCCATCAGGCTCAAAATTCCATGGACAATTTCTGCGCCGTGCGGTGGTGGTTCGACAATCGACATGACCAGGAAGCTTCAAAACAGTCGGTAACGGTCTTCTTCTTCTCCCTCTTCGACTTGACATTTCTCGAAGTTTTTGTAATTCGATTAGATTGTACGATGATGGATCATCTTCACATTCCCATTTGCATTTGGTGTTAGACATTTACAATTAGGTTGGTTGCCAATCTGTGAAACCTCAGAAACCATCATCGACTCTCTTGCTCACTTGATTTGCTATCCCTCTTGCTCTTCTTTTGTGCCCCTTGCTTTCTTAATCTGCATTTGCCGTTCCCATTCGTGTTCTTGCTTCCCTGTTCTTTTTCCCCTTTAGCTCCCCTGATTTTCTTTCCCATGCTTGCTCTTGCTCCCCTGTTCTTTTTCTTTCGCCCATTTCTCTCGTTCCCTTCCTCCTTTCTCTTGCTTTTACCACTCTTCATTTGTTCTTGCACTAGCTCTCCTGTTTTTCCCTATTTTGCGTCATTTCCCTGAGATGGCTGAAACCATTCTAATCCCTGTCGCCAAACAAATCCTTGGCAAGGCAGCTGACTTAGCCTTGGAGCAGGTTGGACTCTTGTGGAATTTCAGACGTGAGCTTCAGAAACTGAAGGACACCATCTACAGAATCCAGGCCGTGCTCCGTGATGCAGCACCACAATCATCAAGTGAAAGATTGGCTTGAGAAGCTCTGATATCATGTATGATGCTGAGGACATGCTCGATGATATTGCTACTGAGGCTCGCAAGAAAGCCGTTCTAGCAGCAGCAGCAGCAGCAGCAGCTAATGGTGATGGTGACAGGAGAAGAACGACAACAACTAATTGTTGGAGTTTGGTCAGCTTTCTGTTCTCCTCACTTCCCAAACAATTGGCGTACGATCTTAAGATGGCTCATGCTATCAAGGCTATTAGGATGAAGCTTGATGATATATCGAAAGACAAGGATAGCTTACAGCTGGAGGTTCGTACTGAGGAAGCTCCTCCTTCCAGAGAGACTTATTCTTCCCAAAATCGTGGTTGGGAGGGAAGATGACAAGAAGAATGTCATTCAGCTTCTTCTGAATTCCAATCGTGAAGCCAACATTTCCGTCATCCCCATTGTTGGCATGGGTGGGCTGGGGAAGACCACTCTTTCTCAACTTATATTTGATGACGCCCAAGTTCAAGCTTACTTTGACATTAAAGCTTGGGTCTATGTTTCACAGAGTTTTGATGTCAAATTGATTCTTGGAAAAATGCTACGATCAATAGATTATGAAAGTCAAGTGGGACCTGGGTTAGATCATTTGCAAGCTCAACTCCGAAAAATTATAGAAGGCAAAAGGTTTTTGTTTGTATTGGACGATGTTTGGGAGGAGACCAACCAAAGTTGGGAAGCTTTGGGAAGATATTTGACAGTTGGTGCTCTTGGAAGCAAAGTGATGTTAACTACTCGATCCACAAAAGTGGCGGAGGTTGGAGTCGGAGCTCTAAACTCGGAAATAAGTATTACCATCGTGGCTCCTTATCAGTTGAGAGGCTAGTCAGAAGAAGAGTGTTGGAATTTATTGGTGAAAAAGATAATGCCAAGAAAAGTGCCTCGAGACCGACAAGTACAAGAAGTTGGTAAACAGATACTGAGGAAATGTGATGGAGTACCTCTTGCTGTGAGCACCATAGCTGGTGTGTTAGCAGATTCAAGAGATCCAAAAACCGAGTGGCCATCTTTTCTACAAAAGGGCCTTTCAAGCATCAATAAAGAAGATGATCCTATTATGTTAGCCCTCCGACTCAGCTTCAATCATCTTCCTCCCCATATGAAAAATTGCTTTGCTTACTGAAAGTTGTTCCCGAAGGTTTTTGAATTTGACATTCAGATGTTGGTTCAGTTTTGGGTGATACAGTACATTGAGTTGGAAGATGAAGGCTTTGATTTCTTCAAAACGTTATGGTGGAGGTCTTTCTTCCAGGAGGTGGTGATTGACGAGTTGGGAAACATGTCAACATGCAGAATGCATGATCTGATGCACGACTTAGTTGATTCAATAACGAGAGAAAAGATTACAAGGAGTTCAAGTTCAGCTGCTCTGAAAGATATTCCGTCGAAGACTCGTCACTTGGCACTATTTGAAGGTGGTGATGATGATCAGGGTACAGAAGCTGACAATGAAGGATTAGCAACTGCAAGCAGGGTGCGGACTCTGATATGTTTCAAGTCTCTTTCAAGAGAAGAACTCGAACAAGTCTTTCACAACTTACTATGCTTGCGAGTATTGGCAACAGCTGAAGAATATTCAGAATTTTCAGACTCAGATAGTGAAGAAGGTTCAGCCTTGGATGCTTCCATGTTGCATTTTGTTGATAAGCTGAAGCATTTGAGATATCTTGGTGTCGATTGCTATGGAATGGAAATGCTTCCAGAATCAGTTACCAACTTAGTTAATCTACAAGTGCTTAACATCAGTGGTTGCCACTTGCTAAAAGAGCTACCAAAGGATATTAAGAAGCTTGTTAATTTGAAGCATCTTATCTTCGACCCTGATCAGTTGGATTGTTTCAGCCATATGCCAAAAGGGATTGGGGAGTTGAAGTCCCTTCAAACTTTACCAACTTTTATGGTGGGCAGTAGGAGCACTGGTAGTAATGACAAAAGGATCGGGGCAGGGTTGGATGAGTTGAACGGATTGAATGCCTTGCGTGGAAAGTTGATTATCACAAATTTGGGGAACGCTGAGTCTCCGGGCAAAGACGTTTATGTCTTGAAGGAGAAACAACATCTTAAATCCCTTGTCTTAGAATACAGCCGAGGCTCTGGTATTACTTTTACATCTGCTGATGAACAAGAGATTTTGGAAATAATCTGCCCGCAACCTAATCTGAAGAAATTGGTTGTAAGTGGTGCTTATTATGGAATCATGAAGTTTCCCAAGTGGTTGTCGAGCTCTCGTCAATATAGTTGAGCTCTCACTGGAAAAATTCAACCAATGTGAGTTCCTGCCCCCATTAGATAAACTATCGTGTTTGAAGAAACCTGAAATAAAGAACTGTCCAAAACTAAATGGCACCCAAGATAATGGGATTAGTGGTGATGATAGTGATACTCCCCTAAAAAATTCGACAATGGAGGAAGAGGATGACCACTGGCCCCGGTTTCATTGTCTTGCCTATCTATACATCCAAGACTGCCCAAAGTTAACACTGATGCCCACTTCCCAACTGTTGAAGGGGAGTTGAAGTTGATCAGGGAGAGCTTTCAACCACTAGCGAGGACGATGAAGATGAAGATGAGGAGAGGAGGAGGAGATGGTGGTTTTGATTATTCAGATGAATACACCAACACCACAGATGATGAATATGACAAAACAAATACTGCTCTTCTTCCTTGTTCTTCTTCTTCTTCATCTCCCATGGTCCACCCACTACCTAAGCTGACAAAGTTGAAATTAGAAGCAATGGATGATCTTGAATATATTTCCAGCGAATGTCTCAATTCTCTTCAAGAGTTATGTGTTACGGATTGTAGCCTAGGTTACAATAAAAAGAAGAAGAATTGTCCCCTAGGTGTGAAGCTACCAAGTTCATTGTGTCCCAGTATGAGCCTGACAAAGATAAGAATAGGGGGGTGTGCGATAATAGAGTTCCTGCCCCCCTTGCATAATCTCTCATCTTTGAGGGAGCTAACTATTGAGTTTTGCCGGGAGTTGAAGGGATGTTGGTGGAAGAAGAAGAATGGGAATAATGATGGCAGTGATGATGATTATTATTACTATGACCCTTTAACGAAGGAGGGGGATGAGGAATGGCCCCATTTCCCTTGTCTTTCGAGCTTGAAAATAGAAAACTGCCCGAACCTAACCCAGATGCCCCTGTTTCCAACCCTTGAAGGTGAGTTGGTGTTGACTGAAACCGGTGCAGAGGCACTTGTGCGAACAATGAAGATGAAAGCAATGGTTGTAGCTGCTCATCATTATGACTCTCAGCAACATTCTACTACCAGAACATCAATATCGACAACCACTCCCTCTGTTGCTTCTTCTTTGCTGAGTACGATAACTGTCGCTCCTCTCTCTAAGTTGACATATTTGAGACTCCGAGAGATGGATGAGCTGGAACCCCTACCAGCAGAAGGCCTCCCAAACCTCACTTCTCTCCAAGAGTTGACGATTTGGAAGTGTTCAAGATTTGCATCTTTACCCCCAGCGATGCGACGCCTCACCTCTTTACAAACATTGATAATTAAAGGGTGTAGCCAGTTGCAAGAGCGATGCATTAAGGGAGATGGTGAAGATTGGCCCAACATTTCCCATATCCCCAACATAGAACTACTAGGACTGTACGAAGATACATTCCAGGATCCAGGTTGGAGTTCACTAGCTTCTTACTTATTAGAACCAGCTTATTCCCTTTCCTTGCCTTTTTCTCCCCCAGCGGTTAGGGGCTAATGGTCTACAATGACTTCACGTTTTGCTAGTTGCTCATTCCCCTCTTCTATATGTTCAATCTCTGCAGGGGACTTCGGCTTCTTGCAATGGTAGGAGACTGCTCTATCTTTAATGCATGTAAAATGATTACTGCTCCGTTGAGCTGTTGAGAAGTGCAGCAGGGGACTGCAACCGGGAACTCATCAACAAATTCCAGTTAATTTATTGAAAATAACGTCTCTTTGGCAAGGTGGGCGCTTCTATATCAACTCAGTTCTATTTTTTAAGAACTAATCAATCTGCCTTCAATTTGTGTTTGATTAGCACTTAATCGTTCAGGCTTAGAGCCGTGCTTCTTTCATTAGGTGTGTAATAAGGACAGTAAAAAACTGATGTAGAAGGAACAGATGTCCTTAAAAAATCACTATGCTATCCTTGACTTGTTGTACAGTTAGTTTCTATTTACTTCTTTTCCTGCTCTTTTTGTGCTTTCCTTTCCGAGGGCAGAAAACCGTCAAACTGCGTTTCAGCATTAAACAATAAAATCGCCTGCTTTTACTTGTGATAATTAACAAATTAGGCAATGACATCTCGTATAAGATGCTTCTCAGCGCAAAAACTACTGCTAGCAGGAACAATTTTTCAATATTATCAAGTTATTAGGGTATAGCTCCCATTACAATTTGTTTGCCCTCTTTGTATGGCCTTACTTTATGACGGTAGAAACCCGATCATTTTGCAGTCTTACTGTCTGCTTATTAAAAGCATGTTCATGTTTCTTGAATCCAGCTGAGCCGCTTTACATCAATGGTGTAGAGAACATTCTTGGCAAAGGGAATGCTTTCTCTCAGTTGCAAGATTGAAGATGGCAGCGTTGAGGAGGCAACTAAAACTTGGATTTCTGTTGATACAGGATTTCCTTTATCTATTATGCTTAATCTAGCTGAGAAGTTCTGTGTGTTGGCAGCAAAGAAATAGATGATTATGCACGAGGAGTTTTTGGAAGGTGCTCACAGCTCTGTGGAGAAGTTGAGTAGAGCAGGGCCAGCCCTGTTAAGAATTTCAAGTTGGGTTTTCATTAGTGCTTGGTAGTGGTTTGTGTTGATGCTGCTTTCTTCATGCTGGGTTAGGCTGCAAAAGATGACGATTGTAGGTCAGATGGAGGTCAGATGGGTGGGCGGTTGTTTCCTCCGATCGAAGCAGAGGTAGAAAAAAATAGATGAACATCATCATGCTGCCTTTATCGAAGTGCTAAGGAAATGAAGTGGGACATGACAGTCATCCCTTCCAATTAAACTGAAGAGGTAGAAGGAACTAGATAGAGAGTCACTAAGCTATTGTCTAGTTCTCTGTTGAGTTTTTGTTCCTTGTTTTATCTACATATATAGAAAATCATAAACGTGCAAATTTTGGTGGATAATATCAAGTTCTGCTTACGATGCTTGGACAAAATTGAGTTCCACCTTTTTGATGTAGTAACTGATGAAACTCATTGGCTTATTACCATTCATTTGATCGAGTACAGTAATATAAGTGCCCGCTTTTTTTATAGAATGAATTTCAGTGTTATATTGAGACTTGTTTCTGGTGGTCCTCTGGAATCGAAATGCTTGAATTTTGTGAGAAGTTACTTGATTAGTTGCCTCAGATTTTCCTTGTCGACAGCTAGTCCAGTTGAGAGCTGCACCCTTTTACTGGTGCCAACTCAATCTGACAGAAAAGGAAGAACAAAAAGTAAGAACTCTAGTCCTCTATATATATCTCCCTTCTTGTCCGAGTCTCCACTCCACAGTTATTACTCTTCTTGTTATGGTTTCACCTAAGGGCATAAGCTGATAATGGAATCCACTAATGGCGGCTGCAGAACTCACCGCCGGCGGCTTTCTGTTTAAGTCTTGACCGCTTCGATGTTTGGTGCCAGTTCTAAGCTCCCGGATATTGCTTTCAACAAATTTACACTCGTTCATTCAGGAGTTCTCATCCCTTCCATCGGGATTCAGGAAAGAAAGAGAATAGATCAGATCAACCAGAGAATACAATAAGCATTCGGTAATTGTCAATCCACTGTAAGCATTTCTTTATCAAAGTCTTTGAATAAGTTTATCTTCTCAGGCATTATTAGTTTACATTATCACATGATTAGGAAAGCATTATTCCACCGAATGAAAGCCAAATTGCCAAGTCGTTTTCAATTGAGTTGTTGACGCTGAAGACCTTTTTTGGTTCTAGGTCTAGCATTCCTTATGATTCCTGCCCCCAGCGCCATCACTGGAGTCATTTTTAAAGCATTTTACAATGACTTAACATCATTGGTTCGTTAGTGGAGGCCAGCTTGCTTGCCGGATTCACATGATCAGGTATTTGAATATTCTGTAAATGGTCTTCTGCCCAAGTCTTTTTTTAATGAATAAAAGTTGTTTTCATCGAATGATTCAATTGCTCTGCTATGCTATCACATGAGGTGGGAGATTACAATATAATATTGATTAGGTACGATGAACCTTTGGAAATGTCGTTGACATTTTGATCTGGGTTGGACTTTGGAGATTCCTTGGTTCATAACTCTTCAATTTTCTCATCCTGATCCCCTGTTCTCTTGCTCCAGCTCCACTGTTTCTTCTGCCTGGATTTCCCTAAGATGGCTGCGGAAACCATTCTGATCCCTCTTGCTAAACAAATCCTCGGCAAGGCAGCCGACTTGGCCTTGGAGCAGATTGGACTCCTCTGGAATTTCAGACGTGAGCTCCGGAAACTGAAGGGCACCGTCTCCAGAATCCAGGCTGTGCTCCGTGATGCAGAAAAGAAGCAGTTCCACAACCACCAAGTCAAAGACTGGCTCGAGAAGCTCTCCGATGTCATGTACGATGCTGACGATCTGCTTGACGACCTCGCTACCGAGGCTCGTAGGAATGCCTTGCTAGCGGCAGCAGTAGCAGATGATGATACTAGTGGAAGGAGCAGGACGTCAGCAACGACATGTTGGAGTTTGGTATGCTTTCTGTTCGCCTCACTTCCTCAACAACTCTGGTACGATCTTAAGATGGCTCATGCTATCAAAGATATTAGGGAGAAACTTGATGATATATCCAATGACAAGGAGACCTTGGACCTGGAAGTTCATACTATTGAGGAGGAAGGTCTTCCTTCCAGAGAGACCGATTCATGCCCGCCCACGATTGTGGTCGGTAGGGAAGATGACAAGAAGAATATCATTCAACTACTACTGAATTCCAACCGTGAAACCAATATTTCTGTTGTCCCAATTGTTGGGATGGGCGGACTGGGGAAGACTACTCTTGCTCAGCTCGTATTTGATGACGATCAAGTCAAGGCTCATTTTGATATCAATGCTTGGGTCTATGTTTCACTTAGCTTTGATGTCAAAGTGATTCTTGGTAAGATGCTACGATCAATAGATCGTCAAATTCAGGGTGGTTTCGAGTTAGATGATTTGCAAGCTCAACTCCGAGAAAAAATCAGAGGCAAGAGGTTTTTATTCGTATTAGATGATGTCTGGGAGGAGACCAGCTATAGTTGGGAGACACTGGGAAAATATTTGACGATTGGTGCTCTTGGAAGCAAAGTGCTGGTGACTACTCGATCCACAAAAGTGGCGGAGGTTGGCGGTGGAGCTCTGAAGTCGGAAACAAATGCCAGCATTGTGGAACCTTATCTCTTGAAAAGCTTGTCAGAAGAAGAGTGTTGGAACTTATTGGTGAAAAAGGCCCTCCCAAGGAAAGTCCCACGAGACCCACAAGTTCGAGAAATCGGGAATCAAATATTGAGGAAATGTGATGGAGTTCCTCTCGCTGTGAGCACCATAGCTGGCGCGTTGGTAGATTCAAGTGATCCAAAGACCGATTGGCCGTCTTTTCTACAAAAGGGCCTTTGGAGCATCATCAAAGAAGGAGAAGAAGATCCTACTATGTCAGCTCTCCTACTTAGTTTCAACCATCTCCCTTCCTATATGAAACATTGTTTTACTTATTGTACATTGTTTCCCAAGGGTTTGGAACTCCCCATTAAGTTGTTGGTCCAGTTTTGGGTAGCACAAGGGTACGTCGAGTCGGAAGATAAAGGCTTTGACTGCTTCAGAACGTTGTGGTGGAGGTCATTCTTCCAAGAGGTGCAAATGGACGAGCTGGGGAATATATCACTATGCCGAATGCACGATTTGATGCACGATCTAGCTGATTCAATCGCGGCAGGAAAAATTGTAAGAAGTTCGAGTTCAACCATTCTGAAAAGTATTCCTTCAAAGACTCGTCACTTGTTGATATTGGATAACAACAGTGATGATGTGGGGGTGGAGGACTATGGTGATATGCAACGAGATGCACGTAAAGTGCGAACTCTTATATGTGGAAAATCTCTTTCGAACAAAGAACTTGAGGAAGTCATTCACAACTTCTTACACCTGCGCGTACTGGTTGTTGCCGAAAAACATTCAAACTCAAATGGTGAAGAAAGTTCTATCTTTGATGCTTCTACATTATTGAGTTCTCTTGATAAATTGAAGCATTTAAGATACCTTGCTCTTCAATGTGCTGGAAGGAAAAAGCTTTCAAACTCGGTCACTAACTTAGTAAATCTGCAAGTGCTAAAGCTCACGAATGTTTGGTTGTTAGAAGAATTGCCGAGGGATACTAAGATGCTTGTTAATCTGAAGCATCTTGAGGTCATTGGTTATGAAGGCGCGAGGCTTCCTAATTGGTTGTCTGGCCTCATAAATTTGGTTGAGTTTTTGGTAAAAGATTGCAAGCAATGTGAGTACCTCCCGCTACTTCATCGAATGTCTAGTTTGAAGAAGCTGAAAATTGAAGGTTGTCCATTGTTGAAAGGCATCGATAATGACGGTGATCATTTTAAGTCTTCTACCTACAACATAACAACAAGATCATTGATAGTGGAAGAAGAGTATTGTGATTGGCCTAGGTTTCCTTGTCTTGACTACTTGTGCATTAAGGATTGCACAATGCTAACTCAACTGCCCATGTCTACTGTTGAAGGCGAGCTGGAGTTGGAAAATGTGAGCTTGGCACCACTTGCTAGGGTCTTGAAGATGAGGAGAGGGGGAGGAGGAGGTGGTGTTGATTATTCGGATGGATACGCATACGATGATACAAATATTCATCCTCTTCTTCCTGCTTCTTCTACTTATTCTTCAGTCTTGATCCACCCCCTCTCCAAGATGACTAGGTTGACCTTATGCAAAATCGATGATGATCTTGAATCCCTTCCGCATCTTGATTTGAGCAGTTATCTCATCTCTCTGCGGCAGTTGAGGGTTCTTAGATGCAGTCAAGGTGTGAAGCTACCTGGTTCGTTGTGTTCCAGCATATGCTTAACAGAGATCTTGTTATATGAGTGCAGAACAATAGAGTACCTGCCACCCCTACACGAACTCCCATGTCTGAGGGTGCTAAGTATTGAGTATTGTCGGGAGCTAAAGGGATGCTGGTGGAAGAAGAAGAAGGGGAATAATGATGATGATGATGATGGTGATGATTCTCATTATTATAATTTCGATCCTTCAAAGGATATAGATGGAGAGGACAATGGAGGTGAGGAGACGGAGGAGTGGCCGCATTTCCCTCGCCTCTCCAGGTTGGCGGTCACAGAATGCCCAAAGCTGACTCGGATGCCTCTATTTCCAACCATTGAAGGCGAGTTGAGGCTGCAGTTTACCAGCACACAGGCACTAGTGCGGACAATGAAGATGAAACCAGTAGTTGATCATCATTATCTTGACTCTCCACAACATTCTACTTCTTCTTCGATGAGTGCTTCTCTTGTCCCTCCTCTCTCTAAGTTGAAGCATTTGTTCCTTGTTGCGACCGACTTGGAATCTCTACCAGAAGAAGGCCTCCGCAACCTCACCTTCCTCGAAAAGTTATCGATTTACTGGTGCCAAAGCCTGGCATGTCTGCCTCCGGCAATGCAACACCTCACCTCTTTACAAAGTTTAAGCATTTGGGACCTCGCACAGTTGTTAGAAAGATGCGAGGAGGAAGATTGGCCCAACATTTCTCACATCCCATACATCCAGCTCAATGGGAAGACACTCCAAGGTCCAAGTTCGGGGTTCCTTTCATGAGATCGATTTCACATCCGCTTCTTTAAAGTTAACTAGTATCAATACCCACTGCTACGCCGCGGGGACTATTTAATATTTATACATTCTATTTAAGCAAGATGATTCAATTCTCTTTTTATCTATGAAACATTAATTCCATCAAAACAGGTATCATAAAACTCGTATAAAGCTAGTCTATTATGCATTAGACTTCTATGTTAAGTAATAATCCATAGTTACTACACACAATCAAGACCAATTGCTGCCTTTGACCTTCTACCTTGGCAAATTTGAGGCTTCAAACCAGTATCTCACCGCCATTTCTTTCAACTCCTTTCCTTGGTCTGTGTACCCCTCATCCAGTATTTCTATCACGTTGCAGTTGTCAAGTAGGTGCTTTATGCACATGTGTTGGCCTGTATAAACAAATTTGAGGCTATTACTAATGAGACAACAATGAGAAGCTCCCAGTTGGGGATGAGAGGAAGATAGAGTTGGGGATGAAGTGCAGCCAAGAACTACAGTAATTACCTGTTGTTCCCGGAAGATGGTCTAACTGCAGAACCACCACCGTTGTCAAACCCACAATACCCTAACCACTGCTACCGTCCACCACAATCTAAAGCAAATTTCCAGTCAAGTAGAGTTCTGTAATTGCTCCATCACATCCAAGTTTTTCAGTCGATGGAACAGAGAAAATGTATGTCCTTCTGTAATAGAAAATAATGAATCATGTCCATCAATGAGTTGAATCCATAGTATACAATGAACCACCAGAGCAAAAAGGTAGAGCCAAAGCCTCGAGTTAGTTTAGTCTTGGATGTGACCTAATGCACTTGACAGTATCCATTATCAGCTAGCATAGATACCTTAATGTATTGAGAATGGTAACAATATAGAGCTAAAGAAATAATTGAGAAAACAAAGCAATCGAAAGCAGGGGCAAAGAAAAGGAACAATGCTAGTATTAGCAGGGTTCATGTCTGTCCGTCATGGATGGGTCATCCTTCTATGTGCTCTTTCTTGACCCTCAATTATTCCCTAGCTCACCAAAACCTACCAAGGCTGGAGCAAAACGAACCAAAAGAGCAAAATTGCAACAAATTTCAGGAGATTAACTAATCACAAAATGCACCTGGCGTGTTCTTTTCTTTGTAAGGTTTCTTTATTTCGCCAGGCACTTTATTTGAACAAAACAAATAGCTGCAGGCAGAGAGAAGGCTTGCAATCGTCTGTCTGTTTATCAAACGAACACCTCAAGTTGCTTCCACCTTATTCTATAATATACCCACACCAGAACTCCATCCCAACTTTGAGTTCCAATACCTAAGACGGCCAAAGCTATTTTTCTTTCCTTCCTCCAATGCATTTCAGTTCATTCATTATGGAGAAACAGCAGCAGCAGTGATGAGAGGGCAAAGTACCAGAACTTCGAAGCTCAAGCGAGTAGGCAATGAAATGTTGGTTGTTGTGTGCGACTCTTTCTCCTCCTTTACCAAGTCTTCTGCTTCACATCTTCCTCCTCCCAGCATTCATTCTCCCTCTCTCACTATAAGTCACTCAGTCCTGATCTTTCTACTTCTGCTGCTAAGCTGTTGCAGCAAGTCTCCTCCTTCCTTGAGAGTACATAAAAATAAACAAACTTGAGAACTGCCAAAAAATTCTGCAATTCGCTTGCGCAATAACCTGCAACAACACCTAAGACAGGTCGACTGTGTTATTGGCGCCTGAAAGAAGGAAAAACCCCGATGAAAGAGTGACCAAGTTCAATAAATAATCCAGCAAATGTACCTATGGAAGAAGACCTAAGCGATTTAAAAGTTCCTTCCTACTTTGTAACTTCCCATTTCAGATCTGCAAATTCTTTCATGGATTTCTTCTCCTTCGGTTTTTTCTTGGTTTGTTCTTCTCTAGTATGAAGTCTTCACATTCTTCCTGGCGTCCCTCACTTGTGTATCTCATCGATCCCTTGAATACGAAAGAAGTAACCGATGATGGTAAGTAGTAAATCATTAAAGTTTTTCACTTTCACAAAACTATCTAACTCATGAACAACCTACCTTAACAAACGTTTGTTGCTGTAGTGAGTCAATCCAATCACACTTTCACCACATCGTCACACTGCGGCAAAATCTCGGTGATCTCAACACCTTTATCTCCTGCCACGGCATTTTTTGCCTCGCGTTGGGAGAACTGTGTGATGAAGTAAATCTTCCCAATAGAAAGAACCTCTTTCAATTGATCCGACAGATGCTTGGAGGCAAGCCCCTGTACCAGCACCCCCTAGCAGAAGAAGAGGGAAGGGCAGAATCAGGAAGAGCAAGCACACGCGCGGACAAGCAGAAACCAAAAGTGGAGAGAACTCACCAATTCGTCCATCCAAAGTGTCGCGTATTCAGAGAACCCGTCGGGCCGGAAGAGTTCCCAGCCATCCATGTATGGAGGAGGCGCAATTTGAGAGCAGGACCTTCGCCTCAGGCATGCCAGCTTCGAGAAGACGATATGATTCATGGCGGCGAGTAGAAGAGGCAACAGCGGCTGAGCGGGTTAGCCGGAAGGCTGTGGCGGTGACGGGGAGAAAGAGGAAGCTAAAGAATAGAATGAGAGATGGAACCGAAGAGGACGATTTGGGCGAGAAGAAAGCAATCAATTTTCTCTGCACAAAGTGAAGGAAAGCAAGCGGCGCAGAAATTATGGGCGGTTGCGTGAGCGAGGCAGTGGGCAGGGGTTAAGGGAATGGGAAAATTGGGGATAGCAGAATGGAACGGCGAAGAGATAGACATGACCGAGCACTGACCGGTGAATGCTTGATTTTGGGGAAAAGAGTAGGAAAGGTACGGCAACTGTAGCGCTGACTGTAGAGTATGGGCGGTGACTTTTGCTGGACTGAGGGGAAGGCCGAGGGGGATAGGATAGGAGTACGGCTACTCGAAGCGGGGTAAGAAAGTGCGTTCGAGGAGAGCTTCTACACTACTTGGGCGCTAGATGCCAAGAATTGAAACAGTGTTTAGATTCTTTGGGGTGAAAAAGCGTACTCCCCTTTCATGTTTTACAAGAATTACATCGACGAGAGCAGGTCGGAAGTCTGGTTTTCAATTGACAATTCTCAGGTTTTCTATAACGTGGAAATTAAAGTCAACTCCCTTGTTTGTCAGATTTCCGCGGCTAAGCGTCCCCTTAAGACTGAGAGAATACACCGATTTCGAAGGGAAATCCATGAAATCCTAGGAACTGTGTCGTACGATAATAATAGTTGCTAAAAGACCAACCAGATTCCAGTCAACTTATTTGGACCAGATGCCTTCAGTTTACTCCTTACCTAGATCTAATTGTCGTCTCACTGAGACTCTGATCTGCTTTGTTTCCGTAGTTAATTGATTTTGCCGGCCAAGGACAAAACAAACAATATTCGTGTTTGGTAGATGGGTCACTCGTCAGCAGCCCAACTTGAAGCCTGCGCTATGGTGTTTTCAACAATTCATCAGACAAAAAGAAGGATTGTTGGGTTGGCAGTCAGTCTGTTCCAGTCACCAAGCTACTGTATAGTTCCCTCTTTCTTCTTCTTCTTCTTCTTCTTCTTCTTCTTCGAGAAACAGCAGAGAGGGAGAGAGAGTGAGAGATGGAGATGGACAGTAGTTGCAGGAGCTTCCAAGCAGAGGATTCCCGGGAAATTCAATATTCGGTAAATGGTCTTCTTCCCAAGTCCTTTGTTAATGAATTGAATTTGTCTTGTTCTATGCTATTGCTTTCACATGATGTGGCAAGAAAGATACAATATCAAATTGGTTAGGTGTGAGATGGATGAATCGTTCGATCAAATCCCATTTTGGAGATCTTAATTCTGCCAAAGCTCCAGCTTTTGTTGATCACCCGATTTGCTCTTTCTCCCCTGTTTTCTCACTCTTGATTCCCCGCTTACTCTTTCGTTTCGCTGTTTCCTTTTCTGGCTTAGTTTATCTGTCTCTTGCTCCCCTGTTTTCCCCCTTACAGTCTCACTCTCGCTTTTGCGCCGGTTATTGCTTCCCTCAATTTTTGTTCTGAAATCGTTCTGGTACCCTGTTTTTCATTCGTCCCTCACTTTTGATTTTGATCTTGCCTTGTTGGTGCACTGTTTTTTCCCCTCTTTACTTTCCTGCTCCAGCTCCCCTGCCTTTTCCTTTTGTTTCCTCCATTACCCTGAGATGGATGCTGACATCTTTCTGATTCCCGTTGCAAAACAAATCTTTGCCAAGGCAACCGACTTGGCCTTGGAGCATATTGGACTCCTGTGGAATTTCAAGCGCGAGCTTCGGAAATTGAAGGACACGGTCTCCAGAATCCAGGCCGTGCTCCAAGACGCCGAAGAGAAGCAATTCCGCAATCATCAGGTCAAAGATTGGCTTGAGAAGCTCTCCGACGTCATGTATGATGCTGACGATCTGCTCGATGATTTCTCTACCGCGGCTCGCAGAAAGGCCGTAGTGCTAGCAGCAGCAGCAACAACAGCAGATGATGGTGGTGGTGACAGGAGAAGGACGCCAGCAACGACTTGTTGGAGTTTGGTATGCTTTCTGTTCTCCTCACTTCCACAACAATTGTGGTATGATCTTACGATGGCGAATGCTATCAAGGCTATCAGAGAGAAGCTTGATGATATATCGAAAGACAAGGAGACTTTGCATCTGGAAGTTCATTCTGTCGAGGAGGGCGAAGCTCTTCATTCCAGCAGGGAGACTGATTCCTGCCCACCCACAATTGTTGTTGGGAGGGAAGATGACAAGAAGAATATCATTGGATTATTGCTGAATTCCAATTCTGAATCCAACATTTCAGTTGTACCAATTGTTGGGATGGGCGGACTGGGGAAGACTACTCTTGCTCAGCTTGTATACGATGACGATCAAGCAAACAGCCACTTTGATATCAAAGCTTGGGTCTATGTTTCACAGAGCTTTAACGTCAAAGTGATTCTCGGAAAGATGCTGCGATCAATAGACCGTGATGCTCAAGTGGGTCCTGAGTTAGACGATTTGCAAGCTCAACTCCGAGAAAAAATCAAAGGCAAGAGGTTTTTGTTCGTATTGGACGATGTTTGGGAGGAGACAGGTCGAAGTTGGGAGACTTTGGGCAAGTATTTGACGGTTGGTGCTCTTGGAAGCAAAGTGTTGGTAACTACTCGATCCACTAAAGTGGCAGAGGTTGGTGTTGGAGCTCTAAAGTCCGAAACAAGTACCAGCATCGTGAAATCTTATTACTTGAAAGGATTGTCAGAAGAAGAGTGTTGGAATTTGTTGGTGAAAAAGGCCCTCCCAGAAGGAGTCCCGCAAGACCCACAAGTACAAGAAATTGGTAAACAAATATTGAGGAAATGTCATGGGGTTCCTCTTGCCGTGAGCACCATAGCTGGCGTGTTAGTAGATTCGACAGATCCGAGCACCCAGTGGCCATCTTTTCTTCAAAAGGGTCTTTCGAGCGTCATGAGAGGAGAAGAAGATCCTATTATGTCAGCTCTCCAGCTCAGCTTCAATCATCTCCCTTCCCACATGAAACATTGCTTTACTTATTGTAAGTTGTTTCCGAAGGGTTTTCGATTTGATATTCAAACGCTGGTCCGACTTTGGGTTGCGCAAGGGTACATTGAGTCCGAAGATAGAGGCTTCGACTGCTTCAAAACGTTGTGGTGGAGGTCATTTTTCCAAGAGGTGTGGGTGGATGAGTTGGGGATTATCTCAACATGCAGAATGCACGATTTAATGCATGATTTAGCAGATTCAGTAGCGGGAGAAAAGATCGTGAGAAGCTCAAGTTTAACTATTCTAAAAAATATTCCTTCGAAGACTCGTCACTTGACAATATCAGCTGACGATGGTGATGAACCAGTAGATTGTGGTGATGGGTGGGGAAACATAAGCAAGGTACGGACTCTTTTATGTTTCAAATCTCTTTCAAACAATGAACTTGAGCAAGTGCTTAATAACTTGTTACGTGTGCGCGTGCTGATCATTGCTAAAAGAAACCCAAACTTTGGTGAAGGCAGCTCTGTCTTGGATGCTTCAACATTACCGATATCTTTTGATAAAATGATGCATTTAAGATATCTTGCTCTCTGTTGCACTGAATGGAAAAAGCTTCCAAACTCTATTACCAACTTGGTTAACCTGCAAGTGCTTAAGCTCATCGATGGAAAGTGGCTAGAAGAACTACCAAGAGATACCAAGAAGCTTGTTGATTTGAAGCATCTTGAGCTCGATCCGGTATGTCCAGCATATTTGACCCATATGCCAAAAGGGATTGGAGGGTTGAAGTTCCTTCGAACATTACCGGTGTTTGCGGTAGGCAAAAGGAGCAACAATGGTAATCACCAGAGGCAGGGGGCCGGGTTGGATGAGTTGAAAGGGTTGAATGCATTGTATGGAGAGTTGACCATCAAAGGCTTGGCAAATGCGGACTCTCCAAGACAAGGTTGCTATGTCTTGAAGGAGAAGCCACATCTGCTGTCCCTCAATTTGTATTTGGGCTCATCTGATGACAAAGTTGACGACGTTACTTTCTTGTCTAATCGCGATGAAGGGATACTGGAAATGCTTCAGCCAACACACTCTAATTTGAAGAAATTGAGGATACACGATGTTTTCCAAGGCGCGAAGCTTCCGATCTGGTTGTCTGGCCTCACGAATTTGGTCGAGTTCGTATTGAAAGATTGCAAGCGATGTGAGAACCTCCCGCCATTGCATCAAATGTCGAGCTTAAGGAAGCTTGCAATTAAGAACTGTCCATTGTTGAAGGGCATCGATAACGACGACGACAATCATGACGAGTGGCCTCGGTTTCACAACCTTTCCTACTTGCGCATTCGGAATTGTCCAAGCCTAATCCGGTTGCCCACTTTCCCTACGGTCGAAGGCAAGCTTGTGTTGGAAAACGTGAGCTTGGCTCCATTTTCCAGGACCATGAAGATGAGGAGAGCAAGAGAAGGACATTCCAATGAATATGCCTGTGATACTACAAATATCCATCCTCTTATCCCTTCTTCTTCAACGTCGGTCCACCCACTCTCCAAGTTGACCAAGTTAACCTTAAAAAGGGTCGAAGATGATCTTGAATCCATATCTGGTCCTGATTTGAGCAGCTGTCTGGCCTCTCTTCAGGAGTTGAAGGTTCAGAGATGCATACAAGGCAAGAAGTTACCAAGTTCGTTGTGTTCCAGTGTATACCTTACGGAGATCTTTTTATCTTGGTGCATAACTATAGAGTACCTGCCACCCCTACATGAACTCCCATCTTTGAGGGGGCTAAACGTTGAGTACTGTTTTCGGCTGAAGGGGTGTTGGTGGAAGAAAAAGAAGAAGACGACGGGGAATGATGATAACGACAATCACAAGGATGATGGTGATGATCATTATTATAACTTTGACCCTTCAATCCAACAAGACGATAAGGAGATGGAGGAGTACTGGCCCCGGTTCCCTCGTCTTTCCAGACTTCAAATCACAGGTTGCCCAATGCTGATTCGGATGCCTCTGTTTCCAACTGCTGAAGACAGCTTGACGCTGGTAGGAACGAGCTCACAGGCACTAGAGCTCACAATGAAGATGAAACCAGTAGCGGCTCATCATCATTTCGACTCTCAGCAACATTCTACTACTTGGGCAACAACAACAACAACAACAAGCACCACCACCGATGCTCGCTCTTCTAGCTCTTCGTTTCCGAGGACTGCCCTTGTCGCTCCGCTTTCTAAGTTGACGCACTTGAAGCTTTGGCATATCTACGACTTGGAATCTCTACCAGAAGAAGGCCTCTGTCACCTCAGTTCTCTCATAGACTTGGAGATACATGATTGTCCAAAATTAGCAACCCTGCCTCCAGCGATGCGACGCCTCACCTCTTTACAGTTCTTGGACATCGACAACTGCGCACAGTTGACAGAAAGGTGTAAGCAGGAAGATTGGCCCAACATTTCCCACGTCCCATGCGTACTATTGAACAAAGAGATGGTCCATGATACAGGTAGGGTTCATCCATGAGATTCACTTTTGTATCCACTTAGTTAAAATGAATTAAATCTTCTATGCAAACTCATCATAAAATCTGTCTTTAGCATTTTTCATGGTACTGTTTTGATTTATATACATACTATGACATCAATGGTTACATATTGACTATTGAGTTTTTCCATCTCTGCTAGCACTGTCACTGTGTAATTCAATCCTTGCTGAGAGGTTTCTTTCATTGTATGTATTCCCAGAGGGAAGAGGTAAATTTGACTGCCTCTTGTGGAGGTCGATGATGAGGAAAGGGGGAATGGGTAAATTTGACGGCCTCTTGTGGAGGTCGATGATGAGGAAATTGTAGCAGCTTTGCAAGTTGAGGAGAGTGCAGTCGAGCCTCCAACCGGATAGGTAACCGCATTTTTATCCCTTTTTGGCAGGCCAGGCTCCTCTGCTGTTGAAACTTTGCTTTAACAGGTTCCTTTGTTGCTCTGATTGAGCAATGACTGTTCATGTGGTGGTGCTAGGTTGCCAATAATGTACGATGGTCGGCTGGACGAGACAATCTGCTCTTCAAGTTGCAAACTTGTTTCACAAGAGAAGATTTTTCAACATCACTGCTGTCATTTTGAATTGCAGAGCTTTATTATTGCCTTCATTTACCAAGGCAGGAAAACCAGTCATACTGCAGTCTGCTTTTAGAAAACTGATCATTTCCATTGCTGTTTGTTATGATGTTTTGCTTGAGAGACTGTTTGCTCCAATTTTTATAATATGTTTTTTTTGTGCACAATAGTCCTGGATAGCGATCTCATATGGTTGAATTCAACGTAATGATGCACTCTGTTTGATGTTCTTGATCTTCTCTTGATTTTGAGTTCCACGATTCTGCAGCCAGTCACGTTAAGGTTTCTCGTCCTGACTAGCTTGATAATAAGTAATAACACTGTTTGATGAATTTGTTGACCAGGGCAACATCTCCTGTTTCCATTGTCGTTCTCGGTCAATTCAAGGCCTGCATTGTGCTGCTGGCTACTACTACATATTCGAATCGAATCCCGGAGCGATCAGGGACTACCATTTTAGCGAAATGACCACTTGTTGTTCCCAATAACTCGAGTTGTTGGAAAAGGATTTGTTAAGCCTTTTAATATCTTACATAGTTGTGTATTATTGTATCCAGAGAAAGCCCACTTTGTGTTCGACAATAGACGTTACTAGTTACTACAATGGTTCCTCCTAAACCATACTTGTCACATCCCGTCAAACATTTTGCGGGTTTTGTGTGCTAAACTCAGTCAATACATAGATTTCTTATGTTGATTGTATAGAGTTGGGCACATGCAAAAGACTAAAACCATAGTAAGTAATATAGGGTTTACGTAAAAATAATACTTACGAGTATTTTACTTCATTTCTAAATAATAATATGTTAATAGCCATAAAATATAAATGTATGAATACATATATTGAAAAATGTATTTTATTCAATACATATATTGAAAAGTGAAACTGTTTAGGAATAATACGAAAAATAGATAAAATATATACATATTAAACAGAGTATTTACGTTGGCAACCAAAATATACCTTAATAGCCATAAAATATAAATGTATGAATAATATTCAAATTATCAATTTTAATTTATTCAATACATATATTGAAAAATGAAACTGTTTAGAAATAATACGAAAAATAGATAAAATATATACATATTAAACGGAGTATTTAGGTTGGCAACCAAAATATATAATTAGTTTAGACTTTTAGAGTGAGCATTTTGTGAATTGGACAGAAACACAGTGAAAATTACATGAATGCCATTCGCCGTCCTTGGTCCGTATATATAACTTCTTCTCCTTGTACTCACTGATTGCTGCTGCTGCTCTCATCGTCTCCCTCTAGATCTCAGCACCCCACTCTCACTAAGTGGAAATGGCGCCCAAATCATCAGATTCGCAGCAGAGCCTTCTCCAATCGGAACCCACAAACGGCTCAATCGATCCGGCATTCCACCTCATCAGAATCCTCCCTTACTCGTTCCTCCGCGCGCCTCGCCTCCGCCTCAAGCTCCCGTCCCTCAGCCTCCCTTCACCGATGACGGTCTTCTCCCTCGTCCTCCTCACCTACTTCATGGTCGTCTCCGGCATCGTCTACGACGTCATCGTCGAGCCGCCGGGAATCGGATCCACCCAGGACCCAGTCACCGGCACCGTGCGGCCCATCGTCTTCATGTCCGGCCGAGTCAACGGGCAGTACATCATCGAGGGCTTGTCGTCCGGTTTCATGTTCGTCCTCGGTGGGGTCGGGATCATTCTCTTGGATCTAGCGCTGGACAAGAATCGGGCGAAGAGCGTCAAGGTTTCGTACGCTTCCGCTGGGGTTTCATCCATCGTGCTTGCCTATGTTATGAGTATGCTCTTCATTCGCATTAAGATCCCGGCTTATTTGAGGTGAAAAAATGTCTGCTTTTTGTTTTTTCCTGGTTGGATTCTCCAAACCATAGTTGCAATTTTGCTTTTGCAATTGCAGTTTTAGGGTTCTAGATTGGAATTAGAGGGTTTGGGGGCTTTCTGCCATTAAGGGATGATGACACTCATAACTATATGTACCGCGGTTGATTGTGTTAGTTGTGTGCAATTGGATCGTCAAGCTTATTTAAGGAAACCATAATGCACTTGTCCTTTCCAATTGCAGTTGCAATTTTTAGTTGAAATTAGAGGGTTTGGGGCTTTCTGCCCTTGCCAAAGCAGAATGGATGATGGTACTCATAGCTATATATGCTGCGGTTGATTGTGTTCTTTGTGCAATTAGTGCCAGAATGAATCAGAATGCCCTGCATTCCCTGCTTGTTTGTTGCCAAATCGATTGTCTGCATTTCCCTACTTATTGTTTGTTCTTGTTTGATTACCAAATCATGATGCAATTCCTCTTTGCGACTGCGATTGTGATTTCAATTTTAGGGTGATAGATTGGAATTAGAGGGTTTGGTGCTTTTCTTCGTTGTGTCGTTACGAATCGGAAGGGATGATGATACATTGATACTCATAGCCGCCATGTGTGCTGGGTGATTGTGTTTGTTGTGCAATTGGAATTGCTGGAATGAATCAGAATGCCTTGTATTCCCCCTACTTGGATTGTCTGTTCGTTGCCTAATCAGTGAAGCATATACCATAGGCATTGCAAGGTCTCAGAAGGGCCAGAACTTGCTTTGCAATAGAGCTCCAGCTAGCTGACTCAAAACAGTACAGGATTTCTGTTTACTCCCGAAACTCACTTCCAGCTCCAGAGAAGCCCATACAGATAACAATAGCTTCTACAGTTCTGAACTCTTTTGGTCATCATGCATATCTAGCTATTGTACAATTTTGGCATTATAAACTGGTTCAGTTCCTCAGCCACGGCCTGAGACAGTTCGGTGGAGAAAGAGCTGTTGTGGATGGTTATCAATGAACCATGGCCGAATATGAAGTTTCCAAGTAGGAGAAAAGCTTGTTTGCCAACCTGGTGCCTTCCTCCACGGCTCCACCAAATAAATTACCAGGTGAAAAGGAACATGTATCAGAAGGTCGGGGGAGTTATTTCGATCTGACATGCTTGAGTATGAATATTGCGGGGGGAGTTATTTCGTTCTGACATGCTTGAGTATGAGTATTGCGGAACTCACGATTAACATCGAATAAGGTGTTTATTTTGCTCCGGGAGGATCTTGTGGCTGATCTGTTACATGTTGTGCTACGATGCTTGAGCAAAGTGAGTTCCATCTTCATGATGTCGTAACATCTAAAACTCGTTGGCCTATCAACTGTATGTTACGTACTTACTACTTTGAGTTCATAGTTCCTGTGAAACAAAATAATTCTATATCTTTGGTGACCTCTTGTACCTGCATCTCAGTCTTTCAATGATCAATCTCGACTCAAACGGTATTGAGCATTCTCACGGTCGCACTCCCTTACAAGGAAACGGTCGCATTTCCTCTGTTTTTCACTCGCAAGGAAATGGCTGAAACCCTTCTGATGCCTGTAGCTGAACAAATCCTTGGCAAGTTGGCCAGCATTGCATACGACCAGATCCTGCTCCTGTGGACTCTCAAACCCGAGATCCTGAAACTCAAGGACACCGTCACCTCCATCCAGGCGGTGCTTCTCGACGCAGAGGAGAAGCAGTCCCACAACCACCAAGTCAGACTCTAGCTCGAGAGGCTCTCCGACGTCATGTACGATGCTGACGATCTGCTTGATGATTTTGCCACCGAGGCTGCGCTCCGGCGGCAAGCAGTGACTCGTGGGAGGACGGGGATGATGATCGCGACTTGCTGGAGTTCGGTATTCTCTCTGCTCTCTTCCCTTCCTAAGCAATTGGTGTATGATTATAAGCTGGCTAGTGGCATTAAGAAAATTCGAGAGCAGCTTGATGTTATATCGAAAGAGAAGGAGACTTTCAACTTGGAAGTTCGCACCGAGGAAGCTTTTTCTTCAAGGGAGACTGATTCCTGCCCACCCACTGTCGTCATTGGGAGGGAAGAGGACAAGAAGAACATCATTCTGCTGCTGCTGAATTCCAATTCTGAATCCAACATCTCAGCTGTCCAGATTGTTGGGACGGGTGGGCTGGGAAAGACCACTCTGACTCAGCTTGTATTTGATGATGAACAAGTTAAGACCCACTTTGACATCAGAGTTTGGGCGTATGTGTCACAGAGCTTTTATGTCAAAGTGATTCTCGGAAAGATGCTACGATCAATCGATCGTCAGGTTCAGGTTGGTCCTGAGCTGGATGATTTGCAACCTCAACTTCGAGAAAAAATCAAAGGCAAGAGGTTTCTGTTCGTATTGGACGATGTTTGGGAGGAGACCAGCCGCAGTTGGGAGACATTGGGAAAGTATTTGACGGTTGGTGCCCTTGGAAGCAAAGTGCTGGTGACTACTCTATCCACTAAAAGTGGCAGAGGTTGGTGGTGAAGCTCTCAAGTCGGATCTTACCACTTGAAAGGCTGATCAGAAGAAGAATGTTGGAACTTGTTGGTGAAGAAGGCCCTCCCAAGGAGAGTCCCGCAAGACCCACAAGTGCAAGAAATTGGTAAGCAAATATTGAGGAAATGTGATGGGGTTCCTCTCGCTGTGAGCACCATAGCCGGAGTGTTAGTAAATTCAAGTGATCCAAGGCTCGAGTGGCCATCTTTTCTGATGGTTGTAGCCAATGCACAAAGCTACCTGGTTGGTTGTGTTCCAGTCTATAGCTGACTCGAATGCCTCTGTTTCCAACCGTCGAAGGCAAGTTGATGCTGATGCAGACGAGCGCACAAGCGTTAGTGCGGACAATGAAGATGAAATCAGCAGCAGCAGCAGCAACAACAACAGCAACAGTCACTCCGCTCTCTAAGATGACGGCATTGCTGCTGCTCGTATATCTCGTCGACTTGGAATCTCTGCCGGAGGGAGGCCTCGGCCACCTCACCTCTCTTGGAGAGTTGGTGATTCAGTATTGTCTGAGATTGGTGTCTCTGCCTCCAGCAATGCGCCAACTCGCCTCGTTACAGTCGCTAGACATTCACAGGTGTGAGCGGCTGACAAGAAGATGCAAGGAGGGAAGATTGGGCCAACATTTCCCACATTCCCAGAATAAAATTGGACGAAGTGACAACAATCCAGGATTCAGGTTGAGGTGGCCCTGCTGCATCTCGAATCTTTGCTCGAACAACTTCTAAATCATCATTGGGACTAATGCTAAAATCTGGCTGTGAAATATTGGATTGTCTTGTTATTTACTTCCACCCATTTGAAATATTGGATATAATTCATCGTTATTCGAATTCGTTATTTGATCTAATCGGATTCAAATCGAATCAAAATCGTTTGAAGTGACTCCTTTAAAACTACTAAAGTGATTCACAATCATGTAAAAGCTCGTCAACATTCATCTCGATAAAATTTATCACACCAATTCAATCGTTGCTCCTCAATGTCATTCGCATCCATCTAGAATGATTTCGAGCCAAAAATCTCTTTGCCAACAAGTACCCATGTTCTAAAATCCAAACACATAATTAGGACCACCGCATTAGCTTCTGATTTCTGAATGATGTACCTATAAATTTCATAGAACATCCAACTTTTGTATAATTTTCCATGGTCCTCTAGTTTCAAATGAACAGATGGGCCGTCCTATTTTAAAGCCCAATTGACTTAACACAATAGGACCAATGATTTGAATGATACAATAGTGATACAATAGAAATAATATAGAATAGACATGTATCCTTTTTTTTTTCATAGATATCCCCATAGGAGAACAGCATATACGAATTATATAACAATATACATGACTTTTGCAGGTCAAATCACAAGTGCAAAAATGAGAAGACCTTTGCAGGTCTGACAAAATAAGGCTTTCCTGCCACGATATGGGCTGCCTATAATACCTGAACGGCATGGGCAATATCATGATTTCTTTCCTTAAAGGATCAAAATCATAAACTAACCATGCTGAAAATTGAAGCAGGAAAGCAAATCCTTGTATCATGAAGACTGACACTCCCAATGAGCATCTTTACCTGCAAAATGAACAAACATAGAGGCCCGAAAGCCACAAAAGACATGTATCCCCTTTTGGCCCTAAATCTCAATTATTCGTTATATTATGGGTTGCTGCTTGCTAATTATTTGGTTTTTAAATTAACACCCATGTGAGGAACTTTGATTAATTAATAAACCAACGGCAAAAGAACAAGATGGGAGGAGATTTAGTGGCCCCAACAAGCAATAAGAGATCAAAATCCACCTTTTTGCCTTGGAATGTGACTATCTCCAATTCTCCACCCACGGGCATGAGAGATGTTTTGGAGACACAAATTTTAGTAAGGGAAGATATTTGGGAGATCATCTTTTACATACTAGGTCACTTTTTTTGCAAAACAAATTAAGTGTTATTTGTACTTTTTTTTTCTATCAAGGCTAAAGGTTTGCAAGAGAACTTTAGTGTGAAAGGGTTGAATCGAACTTGTAGAGCATTGTGCAAGTGAGTCATCCAATAATTTAATAATTTAGGCTATGATCTTCTTGCTCACATCATCTTATCTTTTCAAATGATTCTTGTGTCTTTACTCTTGGTATTTCCTTAAGGGAAACAATCAATTTTGTCAAGGATTGATTTTTTTTTTTTTTTTGTTTCTACTTTCTATGAGATCCCACAGACGATCTTCAACTTCATAATTGTTAGGATATGTATTATAAGAGTGCATACCAACGATTCATCCCTTTCTTCATATCGTCTAAAATGTTCATGGACACACTTTAAAGCTCGTTATTCAGAACCTCGGATTAAGACATGAAATCTCATATTCTATGATTTAATATCCTATCAAATTGACAATACGAGTTTAATTCATCCAGAGTTGAATTCAACCGATAAAAGCTCTTCTTAAGCATGTTATACTCTCTCCGCCGAATATTATCTTTTTGCCAACCCCATGCCAAGAAAAAAAACATAGGAAACAAGTCAAAAGCAATATAGAGATACTTTTGATCCGGCCAGTAACCTAGTTCGTTTCGGACATACATACATTTCTTCAGTTTAATTTAACGAGATATAACTCCTTTATTGTAAATTGGAAATCAATTTTATTGCACAGTTAAATCATGCTATTCTCGCTCTTCGAGATATAACTCTTGTTTCTGGTTTGTCTTTGTTTTTGTTTTCTAGTCCCTGGCCTGTGTTTGTTCTCCTCGATTGGAGTGGTCCGGCCATCTTAATCGTGGTTGTGTCTTGTTTAGTTATGTTTTTGGCGTCCGGTCCAGCTCTTGTGAGCCTTCTCACGCCTCCTTTGTACTCTTGGTGATTTCTTTCTTTGTTTTAATGCATTTTATCACCCTTATAAAAAAAAAATGACACCCACCTTGATATATTTCGGAACTCAAATTTTAAAGCATATATTACCAGTCTATACTTTATACCATGGTGGTAATGTTTGTAGTGCATACGAATATATCATGGTGATATGAATATATCATAATGTAGAATGATAGTATATATGGTAATAAGAATATACTAATCACCGTTTATTATATTTCACAACTGTCTACCACCCGTTACCACCCTATACGAAGCTGATATAGGGTGTATATTTTGTTATGAATCCCCCCCCCAGAAATTTGTATATCACAATGCAGTCGTTTCATTTGTATAAAATATTTCAAAATTTTGTTTATAATGAAGGTGGTACATAGTGGTAACAGGTGGTAACGATTGATATAAAATTATTTTCTCGAAATATGTAAAAAAATATATAATTTTATAGATCGCAATAAAATCATTCTATCTATGAAAAAAAATTAAAATTCGAATTAACCAAAAGAAATACAACGCACACATATATAATCAATACACTGCACTAGAGCCAAAGAGATACAGAAGCTTGGAAAGAGATCATTGGGGACCCAAAAAATCAACACAAACAAACTTTGGTTTATTGCCTTATGGTATCAATAATGTCCCTATCCCTACCTACATAATCCCATAATTATTTAATTAAACAAATGAACTTGTACTTAATGATTTCAATTTTATTCAACAAACAGACCCCCATAAAAGCCAAATGAGCTGGACTGAATCAGATTGGGAGAGACACCTGATTCCATGATTAAGACATAATAGATATCTACTCTCCACTAAAACTAGCAATTAAACAATATAGAAAAAATAGAATATAGAAAAAAAGAGTGGGAATTCATTTATTAATTTAATCAGCCTGAGATTTGTCCCTAACAACAAGAGATCACTCACCCCCACACACAAACATTTTTTGTGCAGGTTACCAATCGTACGTGGCTAGTTTGGCCACCAATAATCAAATTAATCTCTCATTTTAATTTTAGTTAATTAATTGATTTCTAGTTTTTTATGATTAAAAACTATTGATCTGCATCCATGTGTCTACTCTCTGGTCTTCTTCTTATATAAGCTCTGAATGAAAACTCCCACCTGGCCATTGCATTTCTAGTCAGAGAGAGAGAAGAAGAAGAAGAAGAAGAAGAAGAAGAAGAAGAAGAGAGAGAGAGAGCCATTGTTGTTGGATTAGAGGCAGCTCCAAGAACAAGCAATTAGGTATCTTCAATGATCCTTGTTGCCCTTCTTTAAGGTCAGTACTATATGGTGCATCTTTATCCATTTCTTCTTCTTTCTTCTTCATCTTGTTCTTTTCCGTAGTTGATGTCGGTCTCGATATGCAAACACGAAGTGTTAATTCGTGATTTCCTCATTCTCTTGCTTTCTTTAAACTCGAGTCGAAAATTTTAAAAACTCCATTGTTATTTTTTTTTTTTTTTTGCATTATCATCAGGTAATTTACTTTGTTACTCTTGTGGGGGAAAAAACATGAAATTAAACCAGAGAATTGACAGATATTGTGCAGAGACTTAAAAGTATACAACACGTACATGCAAAAATTTAAGCACGGTCGTGGTTCACCTAATTAAAATGGGATACCTTATATTACATCTCAAGACCATGAGGTTAATTACCACTTGGTACACAAAGTATGGATAACTTGCAACAACCCATACATAATGATTCATAAAAAAAGAAGAAAAGAAAAACAACCCATACATAAGGCTACTACCAACAGCCTAAAAAAAGATAGGACACATAACGTTTTTTCCCCTCTAATATATATATATATATATGTCGAAATGACGAAGTTAGACAGTAGAAGGCTCGAGATCTCAAACTCAAAAACCCCAAAACTATAGTCACCATCCAAGTCTGCTAACGAAATCGCGAACGATGCCAACTCGCTGAACGACACACCAGGATCCACATTTGGGTGCTCGTGTTTACGTATATCGGATCCTGTAAGATAGTTGTGGATTTGTGATGGAGAGAGGTTTCGTTGTTTGCCTTTCTGCTAGCTAGCCAGCTATATATCTTGTTTCTCTGCGAGAAGAAAACAAAGGCAATGAGCAGAGCAGGCAAGCTCCAAAGCATGTGATTGTGCAGCCATGGCGATGAGTAAACTATTGGGACCAGAGATAATTTCTCCCCACGCCATCATCGATCAGCCAGCTGCATGCGTCTGCAATTGCCGTACAGTGTACTATGTTAAGCTAGAAAGCAACGGTTTGCCAACTTGGTCTAGTTTGGTTTGAACCGAACAAGATCGATCCAGTTTGGTTTTGTTTCGGTTTGAATTTAACATAACATTTTTCCCATTTGGCTCGGTACGAATTCAAGTTAAATGACAGACGATTATCTCTTTGTTGGGTTAACGGTGAGATGATATCGGGAAACTCAACGTTCGTGTGCTTGTTTCGAGAATAGTTATCGTTGTAGGCTAAGGCGTATGGTCAAATTTTATGAGACTCAGTTTAGTAGTAAGTCCAATTCATTCTTGACCTGTATATTGAATTTGGTAATGAATTTTACGTCAAATAAAATATTTGTTTGAATAAAGGTGGCGCTAATCATTAAATTTCAAGGGAACAAACAAAGGTAGGAGGAATAGAAATACGAGATTTTGGGCCGTACTCGCCTATCCTGCTAAGTGGGCCTTAAGGAAAACAAAATACACTTGGGCTTTGGTCCAGCGAAGGGGATGAGGATGTCGGTTTCAAATGCCAAATAGGGTACCAGTGCATACTAACCGAGGTGTTCTGCTACCAACAGAAAGGAGACTCACCTTCGATATTAAGGGTGTCGCCGGAAACGCTCAAGTGGCGCCACTAGGAATCGAACTCAGGACCTTCCACATCCAGAACTCAATTGGTCCAGTGGTTTCACCACTAGGTTATGTTACCTTTGGCGGGTACCAGTTTCGACTCCTCAAATATTGCAGTCAAGCTCAAATTTTAATTTAGTCTAACTACATGAAGATAAGAGTTTCATAACCCACCGCCACCAATGATGTTAGAATTAAAATTTTACGCGATTTTATTTATTTTAATCGGCACAAAATAGAGGAGAAGTACACTTTTAAAGTTTATATTAAAAAAAAGTAAAGTGAAATTATGGCTGATATAAGTTGAAATTAAATGAAACAAGCCTTTCTTCGCCTGAACCGAGAATGTTTTAAGCATATAAAACCAACCCGACTAACCCTTAGCCTTCGAAATCAGTTGCATTCGCGGCTAACTTCCTTGACTAATATGCAAACTTGGCCGTTAAGCCATCTATCCCCGAAAAACATAAACCAACTTAAAATGATGCAACTACAAAGTCAAATAATCTAACACGGCAAAGTTTTGACCCATCTTAAAACAAATCCGAACTTTATGAACTTGAGATGCTCGAATTTTACTATTGATTCCAGCATGCATATGCTCGAGACTAGTCCGGCAAGGAATTCGAGTTTACAATCCTACCAGTGCGGTTAAATATGTTAGGTCTGACCTTCCGAGCAGCTGGGGCAAAGAAATCCTTAAGAAAACTCCGGTTTTGGAATTCATTTCCGATCAAATCGAAGCCTCTGTCGTTGTAAAGTTTCATATGTTATTTTTCTAGACTCCTGGGGTTCTACGAGACTACAACGATCCCCTTTCACATTGAATGAATTGTTCTTTATACTTAAAAATGAGTAGTCTCGAATCGAAGCGTACCCACCCATCTTTCGATAAACATATTAATTTCATTCCCATACCACCAAAATTCCACATTTTAGTTTTGGGATGGCTTACAAAGTGACCACTATCTAACGTCACCTGGAGATTGAACCAAACGGCACCTCTTTTCTGAAAGAGATGAATAGTTTTCTTTTCCCCTTTGATCATAAGGCTCAAATGTGAGCTAAATAAGATAGCGTCACCAGACTCGAACAAGAAACAAAAACAAAACAATTGGGCCTTTAATGGGCTGCTGGGCCACCGTCGGCGTCAGCCATCAATTCACTCACGTCCTCGTCCGTACCGGCGGGCGGACATCACACGAGCCCAGTTCCGTACCCAAAAAAAAACAAAGTAGTTTTTGTTTCTATTCTTCTGTAGTAATTATTATTCATCAGATTTCTCCATCAAAGCTTGCAAGAGAACAAAAATATTTATGAAAAAAAACAAATGTAAAAATTTATGACACAATTTTCATTTTGGGTTGTTTAGATCCGAAAATCTTTTCCCTGCCACCTCCCTCTTATTCCCATTTTCAGCAAAAAAAATATATAAAAAATAGATAAATAAAGATCCTCAATAAGTTTTTTTTTTTTGTTTATATCCCATTTATCATTTTCTGGCTATAAAGGGGAAAATCCAGAGAATCTCCAATGATTTTCTCTGGCCGCAGTGGATCTCTTTCGGGTTGGTTACTTGTGGGAAAGGGTAAAGATATTACATTGTAATTGCATGAAAATACAGTATGGATGGATTGTACTAACATACTAACATATCTTTAGGATGTAGAATTGTAGATTGTAGATGTAAAGGGGAGGAGGGATGGTGATTTTTATAGTTTTAAATAAGAGTATAATGTTTATTCGTATTTATATCAATCTAGTTATAACATACAAAATCTCTTGTACTGAAAAGAAAAACATCGTAAGTCTCATTAACTAATTTTTTTTCAGGGAAAGGAGGGGCCTCATTAACTAAAGTTTGTTATTTGACGATAGATTTTGAGATTGTTCGTCTGTTTGTCGATTTACGTGGTCTAGACTATGTTCATTGAAATTATTGGATCAATGCCGATTAAGTATTAAAGGTTGACAAATACATCAAGTACAAATCAGTTTTAAGATCACATGTGCAAACGATTAATATTGAGAGTTCTGAGGACTTGAATACATTACACATGACTTCAAGTACAAATCAGTTTTAAGATCACATCATAAGTAAATTTGTCTAAATAATTCGGTTGTTAGTAGAGGTTTATGTATGATTCTTAACAACTTCCGTGTAATATAAGGAGGTTCCATTCAAACACAACCAAAACACTTAAATCAACATAGTAGTACTATTATCCATCATGTATTATTTTGTTATGCAATTGGGTTTGCTGCCACCCCAACTGGACACTATGGGAGCACGCCCATGGTACAAAATTTCTTGGAAATTGTCATTAAAATCCATAGATTTGATATCGAAACTTAGGATCTCAGTATATATGTCTTCTCAAGATTTCATGCAATGGATTTGGATGTTACTTTACCGAATATGACCACTTCATCTGCTTCTTTTTTACACAACGATTTCCAATACCAAATTGCCAATAAAAAAGATTACTAAAATTAAAAGGACAACAACGAAAAATGAAGGAAGGAAAGTAAAGAGAAAAAAAAAAAAACAAATGCACATGGTGGATGGTAAATTGGTACATGACCAAGTAAAAATGGGAAGAAAGAAAGTTACTTGACTATAAAAAGGTAAAATTTGGTAGCTAAAACCCAAATACAACCATTTCTCTAACCTGACTGAAAGTTTTGTAAGATACGGTTATGAGTTCTCGTGAATTTCTTAATTGTTGTTTTGTTGTTGAAAGTTTGGAGATATGATAATGAGTTTGGAGAATTCATATACTTTAGGTTTCAACAAATCTGTTTATAAAAAAAAAAATGTATGTGAAAAACATAGTTATCAAACATAAAAAAAAAATCTTAAATTTTCGACTTAACTTATGTGCTTCTTGTCATCTCAGTCTACACTATGCAAGTAAAACTGCTTATGTTGTAGCAAACAAAAACATGCGATATTTTTTTCTCTTATACCAAAGTTATACCAACCTCACTTTGTTTATACATAAATACTTTATACGTAAAAATAGATGAACCATCAATCAATTTTACTAAAAACCAATGGCTAAAAAGTGCATAGAAAATTCCTAAAAATTCATAATTCACAACTCATTCATTTCCCTCCTTTGCCTTGTTAGATCTGTCACCTCCCAAATCCAACAGAAACCAAACAAACAAAGAGGAATTAGAAAAAAAGACAAAACAAACAACCAAGAAAAAGGAAACCCTCCCTCCAGAACCCAAAAAACTGTTCTGGGTAGCCAAATTTGCAGGAACCTAGCCAGAGCCAGCCACCCTCTAATCTATATGCATTGCACCAAAAAAGCTTCCTTTTTCTTTCTGCAACCATTTCTGTCCAAAAAAAGGAAGGCAAGAAAGATCAAAGAACACAAACATACACAATCCCCCAAGCTCAAAAGTCAGTAGTAACTAGTAAGTAGCAACAGCAGCAGCAATTTACTAGAAGGAAATCGTTTCCCCTGCCAATGGGTAATTGTCTGCCTGGGCTTGGCTGCTTTGTTGTTTTTGTGTCTCCTTCCATTAACACCATTACTGTTCCATAGACAAAAAACCACCTCCACCAGCAGCAGCTATTACATTATAGCTGTCTGATTAAGTTGTTTGCTGCTGCTGCTGTTGTTGTTGTGCCTATTTTTTGCTCTCTTTTTGTCAAAAATTAAATGTGTGTTTGTTGTCCTGTTTTGTTTGTTTGCCGCCATTAATGCCCCTTTTTAGAAGCTAAGGGAGGGTAAAGGTTTCGACATTATTGCTCCCCTTAATTCCAAATCCCCCCAATTTCTAAAGGGTTAAATACCCATTTCCCCAAATTTGGGTTTCTGATAAATCGAGATCAAATTCAATCAGGGAAACAATCATATCCCCAATTTTCCCCCCCCTTTGATTCTGCATTGAAAAGTATTTGGATTTCTTCCCCCTTTCCTCTGCTCTGCCATTATCACAAGGATTCCAGCAAGAAAAACAGAGTAAAAACTAAAAAAGGAACAGGCTTTCTTCTTCATCCTCCATTTCATTTATCTGGGTTCTATCTTCCTTTTTTTTTCCTCCTGTCCAGATCTCGAGACCCTTTTTGGTCCCTAAATCTCTCGTTCTGTGATATTGACATTTGTTCAATAGTCATTTAATTTGGTGGGCACATTCCCAAGCTTTTTCAACTCTCCCCGTCCTCCCCCCAATCGCCTGTTCACTGCACCGCACCCTTTTTCTTCTTCTTCTCCTTTTTGTTTCGTTCTTCTCTCGCTTCATTTCCTCCTCCCTCTCTCTGAGTTTCGGTTTTTGCAATATACAGAGCACTTAGAGCAAAGGTGAAGCGTAAAAACCCAATCTTTTTTGTTTGTTTATTGTATTATTTCAGTTGCTCGTGTGGGGAAGGAGAGGAAACAAAGAAAATTGTTGACTTCCCCTTCAAATTTGACTTTGTGTTAGCTACATTATAAGCCCAGCAATTACGGGGAAGTCGGTGCTATAAAATTGGACGAGCTTTCGATTAGTTGCTTTGCATGGAAACCAAGGTACTAGCAAGTGTCTCTAATTTGGTCTCCTTTCTCGTTTATCCCTTTCTCCTATAATTGTTCTCTCTTCTTGTCATTTAGCCGAGTAAAGTGGGTTCCTGCTTCCCTTCCCCTTTCCAATTTCTTTATTGATTCAATTCCCGCCCACATTTTGAAGCTCCTGATTCAATCTCCTGCCATAATCCCATTGGTTGTTTGATTCTGAATAGATGGTTCCTAGTACTTGCCCATGTTTGCTGAGTTTTTTTTTTTTAATGTTTCCCTCAGTTGGAAGTTTCCATTTTTATAATGTGGTAGTGGGAGGAGAACTCGGGCCGTGAATTCTGGGAATTTTGTAGGGATTGGTGTTTGCTGTTATAAGGAGAGTTTGCTATTTGTTAAGCTTTTTCTCTAATTTGATTTGTGGCATTGAGGTGGTCCTTTTTTTTCTTTCTTTTGATCTTTCAGGTTGTGGAGAAATGCCAATGTCTCAGGAAGTAGGAAGTGATCCAATGTGGTCAGGAGAGGGATCTGGGTTTGAGATTTGGCTGAGTGAGCCTCAGAGTGTTGAGAAAAGGCGCCAAAATTTCATGTCCCAAATGGGTCTTTCAAATGATGTGAGTAGCTCTACAATGAGCAACAATGGTGGTGACTGTGAGGGAGAAATTGGTGGGTTGGAGTTTTCTGAGAGGGTTTCTGAGAGCAGCAATGCTGAATGTTCGCGGAGTTCGTGCACTGATGGAGATGGGGGAAGCAGTTCGGTTTGTTTAGGGAGGGAGTGTGGTACTGAAGCTAATTCCATGGTTGATGATGATTCAGAAGAAGAGGAGTTCGTGGGAAGGAAACCAGGTAGTGGGAGCGAGAGCTCGGATGGTGAAGTCTCAACTTCTCAGAAAGGGAATGGTGAGAAGATGAAGAGAAAGTGGAGTTGGAAGCAGTTTGTGAACAACAAGAAGAGGGATGATCAAGATGTTAGTAGTAATGACTTGGTTTCCAAGGCAAGCGGCAAATTTGCCAAAGTGAAATGTAACAAGAAGAAGTACATGGAGCTCAGTGGGTTGTTTGTAGGGCAAGATATCCAAGCACACAAAGGATTCATTTGGACAATGAAGTTCAGCCCTGATGCCAAGTACTTAGCAACTGGTGGTGAAGATGGAATCATTAGAATTTGGCAAGTTGGAACAGCTCCTGCTGATTCCAAGCTTCCCGGGGCTGGCTTGAAGAAGGGTGGTGGCCAGCATCAGCAGCAGCCTTCCATTGTGATTCCCGAGATGGTCTTCAGGATTGAAGAGTCACCGGTGCACGAGTTTCGTGGGCATTCGAATGATGTTCTGGACTTGGCATGGTCAAGCTCAAATGTAAGAGACAATGGACAGGAAAAAGCTTTCCAATATTCATTTCATTACCTAAGTAGGAGAGTCACCTTGGTTGACTGAATCTTGACATGTTTTCATTTTCTGGTTTGTTTTGCAGTTGCTGCTGTCTTCTTCAAAGGACAAAACTGTTAGATTGTGGCAACTTGGTTGCAACCATTGCCTCAAAGTTTTCCACCACAGGAACTATGGTGAGTTTATGCAAAACATAAGGGCGATAATAAGCAAGCTTGGTCATACAATTTTTACTGAACCATTTTTGGTTTGACTTTGGGAACAGTGACATGCATCCAATTCAATCCTGTCAATGAGAACAACTTCATCAGTGGATCTATCGACGGGAAAGTTCGAATCTGGGGGGTTTCTGAGGCACGAGTCATCGAATGGGCTGATGTTCGAGATGTTATATCTGCTATATGTTACAAACCAGATGGGAAGGTAAGCATATGATTATGAAAATATGATTCTCAGAACTTTTTGCCATGCTTCAGTGAATTCTTAACTTTAACCATTGAGATCCTAACAAACTCTTTTCATCATGAAATCAACAGGGTTTTGTAGTTGGCTCGATTCGAGGCAGATGCCGGTTCTATGAAGTATCAGGTACATACATAACCGTATCTGCAATTGAGCTTCCTTTTTTTTCAAGTCTGCTATTGAGTTAATGCACTTTTTGATCCCTGTACTGTGAAATGATTACAAACAAGTCCCTGAATTCAACTTCTTACCTTTCAAGCCCTTTCGATTAAACCGAGTAAGCAAATGTTATCCCATAGTCAAAGATGAGAATCTTAGCTCAAGGGCTTGTTTATATTCATTGCATATTGCAGGGGCCAAAATTTACATTAGCACTCTATTTTTTTCTTCATTAAAAGTTTTTTCCTTTTTGGTTGGAAATGAGCTTTTCTAACTCAGTTTTCAACAATGCAGCTAATGATCTGCATCTGGAGGCAGAGATTCATATACAAGGCAGAAAGAGAACATCCAGCAATAGAATCACAGGCATTCAGGTCTGTTCAAACTTTAACTCCAAGCTCTTTTCAGTTACAAAAAGCCACGAACATCCCAAATCTAAACCAGATCTATCTTTCCATATTCTGCAGTTCTCCCAGGAAAAAGTTCCAAAAGTCATGATCACTTCTGAAGATTCCAAAGTCAGAATATTCGATGGCTTTGACCTCATCCACAAGTTTAAAGGTAAAAAAATCACACAAACCCTCTTTTTCAGTAATTATAAAATACTAAAGTTTTCACATCCAGTGCATACATCCAACTGAAACTTCCACAGCTGTATTTCTTGGGGAATACATACTGATGAGTCACATAGTTCTTCTGATGCATGAACCCTGACCCAAACTTTACTAGTTTAGTAGTCTGCATGCAAAGACACAATCTTTTTCCTAATGGGATTGATAATCTAATCCCTACACACAGTTAAACTAACAATGTACCTCGAATCTCGTTCTAATGTATTTGATTAGCTGATGTGGCATCTGAGTGGTGTGAGTCATTGGACTAGAATATTGATTACTTTTTGTTATCTAATGACAGGGCTTCCAAGGTCAGGGAATCAAATGTCGGCTTCCTTCACATCAACAGGGAAACACATAATCTCGGTTGGAGATGACTGTCAAGTCTATGTCTGGAACTACAATGACCAAAGCAGCAGCAGTTTGTATGGTGCTGGTAGCCCTGTCTACTCCAAAAAGATAAAATCTGAACAGTCCTTCGAGCATTTCTCCTCACAAGGTGTCTCCGTGGCGGTGCCTTGGCATGGAAGCAACAAGAGCAGTATTGGTGGTGGTGCGAGTCCAGGAAGGTTCCTTGGCCAGAAAGGCACCGGCCACCATGGTGGTAGGAGGAGGGGTTCGAAAGACATGGATAGGTTTTCGATTGGCAATTGGTTCAAAGACGGTGGATTCAGGGCAAACTCGTCCTCTGGTGCCACGTGGCCTGAGGAGAGGCTTCCCGGATGGAATGGTGCTGGAGGAGGGTCTAGGGTGGTGGATCGGAACCCGACGACATGGGGGATGGTGATTGTGACGGGGAGTTGGGATGGGAAGATTTCCACTTTCAATAACTATGGGTTGCCAATGATATTATGATGCCTTGATATCTAATATCTTTGATGAGATGACTTGAGTCGGAAGAAAGGGGGGAAAAAGAAAACTTGTAGATGTTGAAGATAAAGAGTGTAAAGGCTAAGCTCTAGGTCAAATTAGGATTAAGGTTCTTTTCTCTTAGAGCAAATGGTGGTAGATGTGAATAATTTAAGTTAGTCTAAACACATTGAAAGAAGGTAGGGAAAGAAAAAAAAAAGATTCAATATGATGGAAATTTTGATAAATATCTTAAATATTCTCGGTCATTGGTGCGATTGTAAGTTTATAAGAAGTCGTTTATTTTTTATTAATTTATGTGTAAATTCATCTCGTCTTTGTTGTCGGATCCTTTAGTACGATAGGTTGGGCTTTGGAGTTGGCAATGCTAACTGACCAATTTGGTCATTGTATGTAAGACACAAGAGATAATATACTCAGATTAAGCACTAATTATATAATTTGGGATAACTAAACCATTGAATTCGATCATGGTTTCCCCATGCAACCTCTTGCACCTTTTCCTCCACGGCATGCTAATTCTCGGATTCCATAGTAGCCTACTAACCTTAGCTATAAGATTTTTTCACAAAAAAGAAGAAAAAAACATTATAAATTAGACATACTTGCTCGACTGTTCGAAGCCTTAACAACATCATATGTGGGGCGAGATATATAACCTAACAAGCTTATGAATCATCAATAAGCCAACTCATAAGTTATAGATCGAAACTTGCTCATATGCCGTAGAGCTGCTTGCCAGCCATACTATCGAGCCATCTCATGACCTAAAGACGAACCAGCTCAACGAACTAGTCAATATTTATGTCAAGCTTGGTTCGTTGGTAGAAAATCGAAAGTATAACGAGCTTTTCCCGATACTGTAACTTGAAAGAATCTGTGGGCTGAGCCAGTGGGTTTTGTAAGTATAATGTGGGCTGAAGATGGACCGTATTTTGCAGAAGGACACCTCACCACCACCTTACCAACCTTTGCCGGGGGAGGGAAATAATTAAATAAATCATTTTGAAAAAAGATTAGGAACCTCACCAACCCTCAACAAACGATGCTTCAAAAATCCCCATTTGCATCCCAGTAGCGCGTGTCCAACACAGCCCACCCGCTCTCTACGCCGTCGTTTTGCTCGTATGATACCCGGGAATTGCGGATCCGACCCGTGTATAAACAATAAAACTCGAGTTTGATTTATATAAGAAGTTATAATCCAAAATCTGTTGGATGAATTAATTATCAATGTGATGTTTACCCGACCGAAATCATTCATTAGTTGTTTACTTGTTTATATCTTATTCAGTGTTATTTCCATGGTAATCGTTCATTTGGCATTTCAAATATCTCATTTGGTTGCTGAACCATTTACATATGATATATGTCAATACGGTATTTATAGATTGAAATCACTCATTCATTGTTTATATTCTATTTCAGTATTATTTTTGTGATAGTTGTTCACGTATAGGGATGGCAACAAAACCCGAACCCACGGGTACCCACCCGACCCAACCCGGTCAACGCGGGTTGACGGGTTTTGGGTCGGGTTCGGATTTAAACCCGCTACACTATTCATCGGGTTGGGTTTGGATTTAGGTTAACCCGACCCATGGGTACCCGCCCACACACATATAATTACTTTCCTGGTATATTTAATATTCTAAATAATATATTTTCCTTAAACAATTAATATTCTTTATGTTTGTAGAGACATGTATAATTTGTTTTTTCTAATTGTTTAAAATGAAGTTGATATTATGAAGTGGAGAGTGAAGAAACTTAGTTGACGAGGAAGAAGTTTTCAATTAATCTTTTATTTATAGATGTTTATTTTTAATTTTGAACAATTTGTATTGATCATTTGTGGTTTGCTTGTATGCTCTAGATTGGTGTTTTTTTGTATGATTAATTTGTATGAGAAAATTGATGTTAAACTTTTATTTTGAAAGAAACTTGTTATTGTAAATTTTTTACCACAAAAACCCACGGGTACCCATGAACCCGCGGATACCCAGCGGGTTGGGTTGGGTTTGAGTTTTGCAAACCCAACGGGTTTTACCCCTGTTTTTTTTTGGCGGATAAACCCATGGGTTTGGGTTTGTGTTTGACAAAACCCGCCCCAACCCGATCCATTGTCATCCCTATTCACGTATGACATTTCAAATATCTCATTTGTTTTCCAGTTTTTTTTTTTTTTTTTTTTTTGCTTCATTTCGTTTTCTTGTGGGATCAATCCTTTTGATCCCTTTTGCCCGTATCTTTTCAGGTTTTGTTTCGTTTCCTCTTGCAATATATATTCATAACCATTATAAAAAAAAGTTATTTATGTTATTATTTATTTGTAAATAACTCACGATTCAAATAATTCATTTTTTTAAAATGTTCTTTGATGATTTATTTTGACCCAAATAACTCGTTGTGAGTTATTTGGACAAAACTAACTCACCTAAAAACCCCATCCAAACTACCCTATTTTACTATTGGATTGATGGATTTCACATATGATTCTCAATGGATTTCAACCCTCGTAAGACACTTATAAAATTACCACCGTAAGTCAAATTAACTATCGTGAATCATATATCATTTCTCATTTGCTCCTACAAAAAATGTAGGAAAAGGCGCCACACAATCAACCCTTTGGATCGGGTCGGGCACCGAACCCGTTTCTCACTCAACCCGATATTGCACTATTTCCTCCTTCGTCAATAACACTCGCGGGCACTTTCCTAATTGCTCACCCACTCTGCCACTCAAACTGATGATAATCAAAACAATAAAAAAAAATCCATTCCACCAACTCCCCAAGAGCTTTTCTTCCATATTAAAACCAAAAAGCTCCCTTCCCTTCCATCAAAATCCAATACCGCCATTTCCCAATTCCTCCACCGGAATTCGAGATCTAACCCCCGCCGCCGCCATGGCGCTCCAGCTCATCCTAATCGGAGTCTCCCTCCTCGCATCCCTCCCCTTACTCTACTCCCTCCTCTACCGCCTCCGATTCAAGCTCCCTCCGGGCCCCCGCCCAACCCCCATCGTCGGCAACCTCTACGACATCAAGCCCGTCCGATTCCGCTGCTTCGCCGAGTGGGCGGAACAGTACGGCCCGATCATCTCGGTCTGGTTCGGCTCCACCCTCAACGTCGTCGTTTCCAACACGCAGCTCGCCAAGGAAGTGTTGAAAGAGCACGACCAGCAGCTCGCGGATCGGCACCGGAGCAGGTCGGCGGCCAAGTTCAGCCGCGACGGCCAGGATCTGATCTGGGCCGACTACGGGCCTCACTACGTCAAGGTGAGGAAGGTGTGTACTCTGGAGCTTTTCACTCCCAAGAGGCTGGAAGGGCTGAGGCCGATTAGGGAGGATGAGGTCACCGCCATGGTTGAGTCCGTTTACCGCGACTGCTCCGATTCCGGTTCGTTTGATTCCTTCTTTTTTTTTTTTATCATCCGATTACTGATTCTTTTGCTTGTGAATGAACAATTGAGGCGAGAATTGAGAATTGTTGCCCGTTAATTTTGTGTTAGTTAAGTTCAGTTAGACTTAGAAGTTAGGTGTTTGTGCTATCTTACCCTGTGTCGATTCAGGATAAATCGCGCTGTATTAGAGATCAAGTCGATATGATTTTATCACGACGATTTTGTATATGAGAGTGAAAGAATGTTAATTCCTTATCTGATTTGGTTTGGTTTGGTTGTTTGTCTAAATTTGGCTGTGCAGAGAAGAGTTTGCAAGTGAAGAAGTACTTGGGAGCGGTGGCATTCAACAACATAACGCGGCTAGCATTCGGGAAGAGGTTCGTGAACTCGGAGGGCGTGATGGACGAGCAAGGGCTCGAGTTCAAGGCGATTGTGTCGAACGGGCTCAAGCTAGGAGCATCCCTATCCATGGCAGAGCACATCGAGTGGCTGCGATGGATGTTCCCCTTGGAGGAAGGTGCTTTCGCTCAGCACGGTGCCCGCAGGGACAGGCTCACCCGAGCCATCATGGATGAGCACACCGAGGCTCGCAAGAAGAGTGGGGATACGAAGCAGCATTTCGTCGATGCGCTGCTCACGTTGAAGGAGAAGTACGACCTCAGCGAGGACACCATCATCGGACTTCTCTGGGTACGTTTTCTTGTTGAATCAATTGGGGATTTTACTTTTCACGAGCTTAATGTTGAAGTTTGGAGTAGCTAAGTGATGGTTGTTTTATTTTACCTTCGTCGAGGTTTTTGTCCAAATGATGAACAGATCAGTATGTTGAATCACCCATATGAATGATAAGAAAAGGTCAAGTGGATTGATCAATTAGCTCTCTGGTAGGGGAATGGTGCAGGGCATACGACTAATTTTCCAATAATGTTGGTTGGAGTTGGGTAGAATAACATCTTTGGTCTGAATTAGGTGTGGATTAATTAAAATGGGTCGTTCATGCCAACTAATTAGGCAGGGCAGAAAACTATGGTGTTATCTTATTGAAAATTTCGAAACGTGCAGGACATGATCACAGCCGGCATGGACACGACAGCAATCTCGTCGGAATGGGCAATGGCAGAGATCATCAAGCACCCGAGGGTTCAGCAGAAGCTCCACGACGAGATGGACCGGGTCATCGGCTTCGAACGGATCATGACCGAGTCCGACTTCTCGAGCCTGCACTACCTCCAGTGCGTCGTCAAGGAGTCCCTCAGGCTCCACCCTCCAACCCCACTGATGCTCCCTCACCGGTCCAACGCCAATGTCAAAATCGGTGGCTACGACATACCAAAGGGATCGAACGTCCACGTCAACGTGTGGGCCGTGGCTCGTGATCCGGCCGTGTGGAAGGACCCGTTGGAGTTCAGGCCGGAGAGGTTCATGGAAGAGGACGTGGACATGAAGGGCCACGACTTCCGGCTGCTCCCCTTTGGTGCCGGAAGGCGGGTTTGTCCCGGGGCGCAGCTGGGGATCAACTTGGTGACGTCGATGTTGGGTCACTTGTTGCACCATTTCCAGTGGAGTCCTCCGGCGGGCGTCAAGCCGGAGGAGATCGACATGACGGAGAATCCCGGGTTGGTGACTTACATGCGGACGCCGGTGATGGCTACGGCGACTCCTCGGCTGCCTTCTCACTTGTACAAACGTGTGCCGGCGGAGATGTAAAAGGGAAGAGGGTGAGGAAACAGAGGAAGCGGGTTAGGATTTGTCTGTTGTATTGTACTCAAAAACTACAAGGTGAGTAGAGGACCCAAATGTTTTTCCCCCTGTACTTGTTTGTATCATTTACAAACTTCTGGCATAAATTTGAAGAACCCAATTTTAATGTTGTGCGTTTTTGGATATTTGATTGTATTGTTGTGGATGTCAATTCGTAGGATGGTGTTGAGTTGAGTGTGGTGTTTGTGGAAAAGATGAAAAGCAAATTATGAACCTCCGGTGGATCGGATGGCACATCCTTTTCACTCTTTCTCCCCCAACACTCCACTTCCATTGTGATAACGTTAGTGGGTTTGGTTGAACTTGGGTCAAAACTCAATAGTCAATGGATAACTCACCAACCAACCCCTTTTTTAAATATTAAAATATTTTAAAAGTCGTTTAATTTTTTTTAATCCCAGATTTAGTACACCCCTCTGTCGCAAAGTTGCACGTGGGGTTGAGATTCCTGGGTAAGAAAAAAGAAAAAAAGTTGATCGACTTGATCGCCGCCACACGTAGGGTTGGAAATAGCTACGGTATCAGTATCCCAATACCAAATGCCGAAATCCCGAATACCGAATTATACCCGAATGTCAATCTCATTCCCAATCCCTAAATAACTTCGGTATCCCAGTCTCAATCCCTAAATATTTTGGTATCCCAATCGGTATTATTGAATACACAATTAATTACATTTGAAATAAATAATTAAATATATAAATTAGATTTGATTGTTTAATTTAGGGCAGAGAGACTAAGCAAAGAGTCTTGAGTTTGCCTAGAGCTAGGATATGGGTAAGGAGAATGAAGGAGAGGTGACATCTAAAGTTTTTGTCATTGGTAATCTTTAATTTGACGAATTGAATGCCGAGAGTCGACTAATACTAGTGTTTGCCTTTTGGTGTTATGAAAATAACAAGTTATTATGTGATAGATGAGAGTGAATTAAATTGGAAAGTCAAAATTGAGTTGGATGGAGACTTTTGAGTTGTGAAACAAAGATGAAATGATCTATGTATAATTAAATGACACTCTTGGTGGTTGAGGGTTGTGTAGTAGTGAATGAGAGAGTCTAGCTGAAAGAATAAAATACACACTAGCTTATATATCAGTATTGATCGGTATTTCGGTATATCCTGATCCCAATTCCGTAATCCCTAATACCGAATTACAATTAAAATTTAATCATAATCTCAATCCCAAAAAATACTACGTGTATTCGGTAATACCAAATATAAACAAATTTGGTACGGTATTCGGTGTTATCCCAAATACAGGTACCAAACTTCCAGCCCTAGCCACACGTATTATTACCAATCCGTCCGATAACGTGCTTCTGTCGTGATTTTGTGGCTAGTCGGCTCATGTTTTATGCATGATTCTATATTTTTATGTATTTCTATTCATAATTATGAGGTGATTTATCAAATGATGTATTTTACAGTCTCACTCACAAATAACCCAATTTCTTAAGCTTTGATCCACAGCATATTACATGTGAAAATGGGCCGAATTATAGCAACTAATACCCTCTACCAAAACTACTTCTTCATCGGGCCCAAGATAGCTGGTTCAGGCACGATGTTTGGGTTTCTTAGAGTTGGCATTTTTCACTCAACGGGCCTAAGGACCCATCGCAAACTAGGCCTCACACTTGAGCCCGTAATACATTGAACGCCCTCAAGCCCATTATTTGGGGAAAATTAGGAGAATTTTTTTTTTATACAAAATGTTTTATCAATCTATCTAAGATCTCCACTATTGAGAGAAGTCCTCTGATATGAAATGAAGCTTCAATAACATGGGGAAAAAAAAACCCACACCTTCTGATTCGTCAATCACCACATCCCTAAATTATGCACAAGTTTATGAAAATACCAACGGAATTCAAGCGTTGTGCTCAATTTTGTTGTTTATCTTTTGTACGAATCATTCCAGCACAAAAATATAGTAATTGTTCTTGATACTAACCACTCTAATTACAACAAAGTGGAATGATGAACACAGAGAAACTCATATTACAATCGTCAGATGGTCATTTTGTCAAATGACTCGTTTTGTTTTTCATCGACCAAACGAGTCAGTTGGACCAAATTGACTCCTGCAAATATAGCATGCAAGTAGCTCTGAGTGATGTCAACTCCATCAAAACAAATCTTTGACAAGAATATATATTCTCATGAAAGACATTTTTTAATTAGCACTTAAAATTAAAAGATACTACACTTTGCCCTTTTTATGTAAGAACCCTTTTAATTGACGTAGGCTAACTAGTAACTATTTTTGTTATGAACCATCCCATGAATCGGGTCTACGTTCATGGAGAATCAAAGAGGGAAACAAGAGCAAAGATTAAAAAATAAAACAACCCACTTCATATAAATATTAGGCTAAACTTGATAATTAAGCATCTTATTCCCACCAATTAATTAGGGTCTGTATTTAATTTTCATGTATATAGATATCACTAATAAACAAAGACGAAGAATCTGATTTTTTTTCTTCTCTCCGTTGTTGTTAAGATAATAATAAATTATCTTAATTAACTTCAAGGTAGCTTAACTTAGCTATGTTGTAAGACTTTTTCCCCATTGCCGGTTTGGCTGCATGTGTAGAGATAAGTTAAACCCTAATTTGTGGGGATTAGGGTGGTTGGACTTCTAGAAACCCTAATTCTTTTTAGTTAGTGGTTTTATGTAGCCGTCTCGAATTCTCATCTTTGTTCTCACCGATCGGAATGATTGTTTATTTTCTGAGCAGGTTATGACGCGTCAAATTTTGATGCGATTAGTGGATGTTGCTCTTAGTTAACAACTCCAAACTCATGCCATGGCTTTTTTTCAATTAAAGGGTTGCCTTCAAAGGTTGCCTTCAATGTGTTATACTACATCACATATCTGCAAGTGTATACACCATTTTATGTCATTTGTAAATAATAAACGAAAAAGTTGTAAATCTAAACAATTGAGTACTCCATAAATTTTTAATTTTTATCTATGGGAAAGGCTTGATTTGAAAATTAGAAATGATACTTGAAAAATGGTGGGATTGCTCACCAGCTAAATTAACTAGTAGCGAAATTGTCCCTCTCCTTACTTTGTGCAACAAAGGTAGAGAAGCAAACAAAAGAGAAGCAAACAAATTAGACATTATTGGTTGATTTAACAATATAACCGTCAACTCTATCTAGCTAGGGATGGCCGTCAACTCTTAAAATTACCAAAAGAAAAACAATTTTTTTATAAACTATTCCAATAGTAAAATCTTTTTTACAATGACATATTTTATTGTAAAACAATATGATGATCTTAATATTCTCAACCTGCATTATAACTAAAACAACCTCATACACAGCGACAGCGAGATGATATGTTTCTACATTTTTATGGCGAGAAGGTCGAGGAAGGAAAAGGGGGACTATGGAAATTATTTTTTCTAAAAATAGTAATTTACATAATTTATTTTAAAACATAAAAAGATTGTAAGAAACACAAATGGATGGAGAGAGCTAACATTGTCAATACAACATTTATCTCTCCACATTTCACTTATTAGTTAACTAGAGCGTTAGCTCTAATTCCAGGATTAAAGTTCAGGAAGATTATTAGAACTGTCAATTGAGCTGGCTATGAAGTGAGAGTTGTCTTCGTTTAATTTTCTTATGATTATGTCTCCTGAAAAAAAGAGAAAGCTAACTAGAGTGGCTTGTCAATTACTTTGCATAAATTCATTCACTTTAATGTATGTATCAACCTCAAAATTTCTCATCATTGTTAATCATCATAAAAATATTTCAAAACAAGCGAAATTTTCCCATCCATGGGGGGATATTTGGTGCATCTTACGGTGAAGAAGATGATGATGTTTTATTGTTAATCATGCAATTAATGGACCCACCAAAAGAAGAAGAAAATCTCATCAATTCATAAGAAGATGAGTGGCATCTAATAATCTCAAAGCAATCTTTGCTTCAAGATCCAAGCATGAGTAGCTATCATAATATATCCAACAATAAACCACCAAAAAAGAAGAAAAGAGAAAAAAGGGAGATGGCCCAAACAAACAAAGGAAGAGCCATTGTCAATCAAACCCTAAAAAGAAGAGGTCACACATGAGATGTTCAATTTGACCCAACATGGAGAATCATTACAAGTCCCACTCAAAATTTCAAGCCAACAAACAACTAGCTAGCTTGCACTACTAATTTGAACCTTCAAATTTCATTTTGCCTTGATTTTTGGTTGTGATGGGTGTGGATTTGGATTGAAATTAGAGATCCCTTTTTATGATGAGAGAACCCACATATGAGAGAGCCACCCATGTTCCTAACTATAGGCCAATTTAATGTCCATAATGCAAGAGAAAGAAGAGGAAGAAGAAAAGGAATGAGAACAAAGAGAAAAAAGGAGTGTGGGGAAAGTGAAATGACCCTCCCTCTCATGGAACCATCTTCTCCAAGTTTTTCTCTTGGTGGCATTCCATTATTATTTCTGTCAAATGATGTGTATGAAGAGAAGCCATGTGATAAACTAGAAACATGTGGAGGTGGATATTACCAATTTTTGGGTATTACTAGGTCAGTTCTTTAAAGTTCAAATATTAAAATTGTGGAAAGGATAGTGGTTGTCTAGCTTATCATTATGTATTATATTCATAAATTTCTAAGAAAATTATAATAAGATTCATATTTGGATAACTTCAAAAAATTCGAGTTAACGAGATAGATTTATTCGATTTCCATGTTACATGTATCATGGCCTTAAATATGTCTGACAAGGCTCATGTTAAAAATAAAATTATGGTTATTGTCAAACTTCATATTGGAAGGTCTTGTATTGTTTATCTATTGTTATGATTGATAGCTAGAAGGGTTTTTGCGCATCTGTATTTAGTTTTCAACTTATTTTCACCTATTATCTATGTTTAGGGTTAAGAGAAGGTTTCTCGTGTTTCTTCTAACCCTCTGTAATTTGTACTCTACTCAAAATACCGAAATATACTCTCCCCTTCTCTCGTAAATCTAGATAGCACACAATGTATTAGCGAAAAACTAAATTTCGTGTGCGTTCTGTCAATTACTTGTCTATTAATTATAACACTTAAAGTTCATGTATGGACTTTCCTTTTACTCGGTATGTAAGGAAATAAAAATAATATATCTAAATATAATAATTTAGATACCCGGTCATATAATATAATGAAAAAAAATTTGGAAGTGAAAAGTTCCTATCATCAATTAATTTAATAAGTAGTTGTTCGGTTGGGTTCTAACTTGGAAGCTTATCCTAATAATTTACGTCACTTCCAAATATGATCAACCGTGCGAAATATCACGTCCAATTACCACTACCACCCATGAAACACTGATTATGACATGTTTTTGTTTAAAATCAATCATTCTTTATAATGTCTAATTAATCAATCGAAGTGTCAAGTGTCATTGGCTCATTGCAATTTGGACGTATTTCGTTTGTAAGTATTTGCCCGTAAGTGGAAATGGGAAACGATGCCCTCGAAATCTTCCGTATTACAAATTATATATATTTTATCACGTAATGCATGTCATGAATTTTTATTATTTTCAACAAATAATCGCAACCATTTGGTGTCACTTAATTTGACACGATAATTATTCATTGGTCAATATATTCATTTGACGAGAGAACCACTGAAGTAACTATAGCTAGCTACGTATTTAAATACCCACTTCAGTGGATCTCACAAATGGATTGGTATGATTTCACTAACACTGATTTACACATCCGTTCGATTTGAAATGATAGATCTACAAATAAATAAATAAATAAATAAGAGTGCACTATAATATGATCTCCTTTTGTTTAATATTACGTATTTTAAACTTTAGGACTTTACTATTGTGACTTGCAAGTCACCGTAACTTGTACTTTTCGATCGACCTTAGATAGGATTAGGTCGACCTAATCTGTTGTTTCAGTTTTGTGAGGCTAAACGACGCGGTTGACCTTTGACAGCAAATGGTCGACCTCTTTGGGAAGCGAACAATATAAAAGGTCGACCCAAATATCTCAAAGGTCGACCATTTTGCTATTAAAAGGTCGACCTATGTTTCATTAACTGAACAACGTCAAAGTCGGGATTATTTAGGAAAATAGTATAAACGGTCGACTTGACAAGTACGAGGTCGACCGTGTGCACATCGTATCTGTATTTGATAAGGATTCCAACACCATAAAGGTAACTCTAACTTGTCTACCGCTTAATTCGACCCAATCTCGTCCTAAATATCTATAAATACGAATATATGTCACCTTCACTGCCACCGAAACTCTGAATTTGGTTTTTTGTACGGTTAGAGCTTTTGTGAAGAAGAAGATAATTTGTAGTTGTTGTTGTACGTGTTTCAAGAGGTCGACTACATGAAAGGTGAGGTCGACCTATTTTAGCTATCGTTGTCATCTTGTCTTATTCGTAATTTGCACCGTTTAATTTGATGTTTTGTTGCGTGTAGAAGACCATTCGATTGACCCTTATTTCAATCAGGTCGGCCTCTGTTTGACAATTGCGAGAAATTGAATTTAGGGCACAACACTCGGACTTCTGTACTTGTGAGGTAAGGAAGATCAAACCCAATAGGCCGATCTGATTCTTATCATGGTCGACCGTTGCTGTTTGTTTTGCTTGTTTATCTAGAATGCCGACTTTGGCTTTGTTTGTAAGACTATGGTGTGCTTAAAAGGTCGGCCGATCAATGTGTCTGGTCGACCTATCAATTGTTCGTGGTAGTATTACACATGGTTTTGTTGGTAAATTGGTATTATATATTCTGCTGGATAGGTCGACCTAGGAAGAGCAAATGTCGACCTAATTGGTTCTGGTAGTGACAACTTACGTCTTTAGGGTCGACCTAATAATATTCAGGTCGACCACTTCTCTGTTGTTGGTCATTTGTACAAAATTAAAGTGACCACCTTAGGGGATTCAG